GGGGGGGCGGAGTGGCGGGGGGCGGAGTGGCGGGGGGCGGAGTGGAGGGGGCGGAGTGGAGGGGCCGGAGTGGGGGGGGCCGGAGTGGGGGGGGGCGGAGTGGGGGGGGGCGGAGTGGGGGGGGCGGAGTGGGGGGGGCGGAGTGGCGGGGGGCGGAGTGGGGGGGGACGGAGTGGGGGGGGCCGGAGTGGGGGGGGCCGGAGTGGGGGGGGCCGGAGTGGGGGGGGCCGAGTGGGGGGGGCGGAGTGGCGGGGGGCGGAGTGGAGGGGGGCGGAGTGGGGGGGGCGGAGTGGAGGGGGCGGAGTGGAGGGGCCGGGGTGGGGGGCCGGGGTGGGGGGGGCGGAGTGGAGGGGGCGGAGTGGAGGGGGCGGAATGGAGGGGGGCGGAGTGGAGGGGGGCGGAGTGGAGGGGGCGGAGTGGAGGGGGGCGGAGTGGAGGGGGCGGAGTGGAGGGGGCGGCAGGAAACCAGCGGCTGTGAGCAGCTTCTCAGGCCGGGTGGAGACTGCGCCCTGGACGTCTGAACCTGCAGACCTGGAGGGGTCCATCCGCCGGGCTCCTGGGCCCGCATGGCGGTGACACGCTGGTGGAAGCCACCCTCTGCTTCCTCTCCTGCCTCTGGTTTTTCTCCCCACCTTCTGCTTCCTCATGGCCCTCATGGGATGAGTGTGTGTCCCTCTCCACACTTGTGAACAAACAGGTGCTTTCTCTCGGATGCAAACTGCAGGGTGTGTCCTGCGTTGTGTCCACGTTTTTGCCAGGAAACGTCTAATAATGGGCTCGAATCAGCAGCTACATTATTTGGAAGGAACTTTGATTTTCTTGAGCTGTAGCAATACGATATCTGGGGGCCTCGGGGGAGTCAGTTTGAGATGGGTTTTAGCCAAGCTGATGTGGCTCAGTGATTGAGCATCGACCCATGAGCCAGGGGAGGAGGTCACCAGTTCAGTTCCCGGCCAGGGCGCAGGCCTGGGTTGCAGGCTCCATTCCCAGTAGGAGGTGTATAGGAGGCAGCAGATCAATGGTTTCCTCTCATCATTGATGTTTCTATCTCTCGTCTCCCTCTCTGAAATCAATAAAAGTATATTTTTTAAAAAATGGGTTTTAAGAGGACTCTTTTGGCCACAGATGGACTTGGTGGCGTCCCAGTGAGGCCTCGAAGGGCAGGGGGCAGGGGGCAGGGGGAGAGGAAAGAGAAGTACAGAGCCGGGGCCAGTGCCACCCTGCAGTGCAGCCCCGGGCACCTGCCCGCTGTGTGCGTAGATAGAACCCCGAAAGTGGGTCCTTGAGACCCCAGAAAGGGGACAAACAATCCTCAGACCATAAAACTTTTAAAAGCTTGGCAAAAAAGATAAAAATAATTTTTAAGAGTAAAAAGCACTGACATTTCGCCCACATGCGGACTGCCAGCAGAGCAGCCAAAGGAATGACGGGAAGGTGGGAGAAGGTCTGGCGCAGGAGAAGGGGGTGGCCGTCCCGGCGTTGCTAACTTGAGGTGCGTCCGATGCCGCAGCCTCTTTTAATTGTGTGTGTGGGTTTCGCTTTATTCCAGCAAATAAAAAATATAAGGACATTATGGGCTCTTCCTCACTCACTTGGCTCTGAAGTGCTCCTCACAGAAACAGGTGGCTTCACGAGGGGTCCCCGACAGTGTTCTGTTCTGAGATTTTATTGACTTTATTGACTTTATTGACTGCTGCCTGGGGAGGCCTCCCTGTGCCCTGCCTGTCTTCTCTGCCGAGCTTCCCCCCGAAGGCAGGCGCCGGGCCAGGGCAAGTGTGTCCACCCGTTGTGTCCGGCGTGGTTCTCGGCGCGGTTCTCGGCGCTCGATGAGGTGCTTACTTAGTTCTGTGAGGTGCTTACTTAGCGATTCTACGGTGAGTCCCGGCTTGCCAGGGAAATACGGGAGGGGCTTCACCCCGAAGCCGCGGCTTTGTTCCGGATGGACGGTGGGGTCGAACTAGCCCTTTTGCTGAGAGGGCTCCCCCACTGCTTGCTTCCATAGTTACAGAAGCTTCCAGAAATCCTTCCAAGGCAGTGAGAGTGTTATGTTACCAGACTGGACATGCAGGCCACAGGCCCTGGTACGCAACTTCCCCAGCTCCAGGGACCTTCCACCACACGTGTCCTGGGAGCTGGGCCTTCAGCTCACCCCTCCCGGGCCTGCCCTGGGGCTGCGTGGAGGGCTCGGTCAGGAGCAGACAGTCTGAGAGGGTTACTGTGGAACAGCTGGGGCCTCACAGATTTCCCTGTGGAACAGCGGGGGCCTAGAGGGTTACCCATGGAGCAGCTGGAGGAGCCTCGCCTGTGGGCAGAGGCAGAGGAGCCAGGTCTTTCTCCCCTGAGACCACAGTCCTGGCTCCTGGAACAGCACAGAGGCTGGAGGACTGGGCAGATCTGTACGTGGGACTCTCCGTCCGTGGATGGAAGGCTGGGATGACAGGGCTGGGTGGGCCTGGCAGCGGCGCGGCACGGCGAGGGGCCGCCGCCGGGCGGAGGGGCAGCTACATGTCGTAGAGCCGGAGCTGCTCCTGCATGTCGCCGAGGGACATCTCGCCGAACGTGTCCTTGTTGTCCTCCATGAGCTTGAAGATGGCCGCCAGCTGCTCCTTCTGCACTCTGCGGGAAGAGGACACAGGCGGAGAGCCGTGAGCCTCGGGGCAGGGAGCCTCAGGGAGGGCCTCGGAGCGTCCAGAACAGCCAGAAACTCCACTCCAACTACCCACTCAGCAAGCCTGTGTGGGCTAGACTAGAGCGCTCAGCTAGGGGGTCTGAGTCTTGGGTCTACCCTGGAGATTGGGGGACCCCCAAGTTATGGCTCGGGTCCTCGGTGCTCGTTTCCCCTGGGACTGCCGTTTGCTGCTGACCACACAGCCCAGTGAGGCGAGGAGGAGGAAGGGCGGGCCCAGAGGGCTGGAGGTCTGTGCAGAGAGGAGCCAGAGTGAGGAGAGGGCACATGGTGGGCTGGGAACAGGGGAGCGTCCATGTGCGTGGCCAGGGCGAGGGGTGGGGTGGGGTTCCGCTGCTCAGAGGAAGGGGCGCCTCTGATTTGCAGACACCATACGGCCTGCGGGTCCCGCCCGTCAGGTGTGGCTGGGACACTCAGGCTGCTCCCTGCCCAGCAGATGCAGCCCTGAAAGGGTGCGAGGCTGCAGGAAGCCGGGAACACGCCGGTTGTTTGTTCTGCCCGGTTTGCTGTGCTGTTGGCATGACGGGCACCGTGTGCTGGCTCCGGCTCACTGCTCTGGCTTCGGGCCTCTGTAAATCCTCCCTTCACATCACACACACCACACCACACCACCAGCTTGGCGTCGGTCGCCTGGAGAACCTGGGAGGTGGGACCACACACCTCCCTGCAGCCAAGCTGCTGCCGTCAAGGCAGGTCCGACAGCTTCCGGCACCGTGGCCTGCAGGGCCAGCACCCCATGTCTTACACTTGTCCTAACACATCCCTTCTGCAGGGACCACCTTTCCCCACCCAGCAGTTCTGACCAGAGTGGCACCGAGAGGCTGGAGTACTGCAGTCCCCAGTGCCAGCCTCTGTGCCACCTGGGAAAGCAATTTCCAGGTTTGCCGTGGAGGAGAGGCAGCCTCTGCCAGGGGCTCTGTGCCTGAAGAAAGGGCAGCGCTGGGCACCGGGTGTGCATTGAGCTCCGTGGATGGACTCATCAGATGCCCGTGTTCCGGTGGCCGTGACACTGCACACTGTTCGCAGGTGGACATGGGACTCGGCACCCTCCCGGGGGGTGCCAGCATCAACGTAAGAGAAGGCTGACGTTTTACGGGGTTCAAAGGAGATCATTTTTTAAAACAACGAGCAAAGCTGAACACACAGACAGTGACAGGCTCATCTACTCCGAGTTTATTGGGCGGCACAGAGGCTGAGACGCAGGTGCAGGCCGGCAGCAGGGCGAGAGGCCTGTGCCCACGTGCGGAGTTTGCAGACGGACTGAGGTAACTGGCCTGGGGGAGCTGCCTGCTCATGTGTCAGTAACCCCAGCCTGAAGGACTGTATGGCTGTGTGGCCACGTGTGCTCACAGGAGGACGCCTGTCGTCACGTGGCTCTGTGGCTGTGGTCGCTGCCGTTCTGCCCTCGGCCCTGAGCCTCAAGTATCAGGCCCAGAGGAGAAGGGCCCTGGGAACGTGACATTTATTTCCCAGCCTTCCACTCAATGGCAAAGATTTTCCTATTACTCACTACTTTAAAAAATGTTTTAACGCTTCTAAAAACTGTAGACTAGTTTGGCCGAGTATAAATACTACCCCATATAAAACTCCAGGAAACCGATATGGGACCAATCTGGTTACCTGATGAAGCTGTAACTCACCTTGGAAACTTTCTAGGAAAAGGCATAATGGAGGAGAAATCTATCCGAGGCGAACACTATTGTTATTGCTCCGGCCAAAGCTAAGGAGGCGACCAAAGTAGCTGAGCCGGTAGGAACAGTGAAAAGGCCTTGAGCAACAAGAGGGCGGATGGGAGCTTCCTCCGAGGGAACAAGGGGCCCTACGTAAACCAGCACCAGCCCTTGCGTGCTGCCCGGTCATCCACCAGCGTCTGTCACCCAGAGAGCAAGACCTCAGGAGACGGCCCCAGGCAGCGGAGGGCGGGGGCTGTCCCGAGCCTGCGGGGAGCAGGGCAGCTCGCCCTGTGGGTCAGGTCACACCCGAGAGGCCCTGTGTGAGGGGGAGCAGGATGCCTGCCCTGACGGCAGAGGACTGTCGCGGGGTGCGGGGTGCGAGGCGCAGGCAGGGCGGGGCGAACAGAAAACCAGTGCTCAGGGCGTGAGAACACTCCCAAGCCTCTAGCGCAGCAAAGCAAGCCCCATGCCAGGAGGAGGGCCTCGCACCCAGAGCCAGGCGGCCCGTCCGCAGCCAGGGGAGGCCGCTGAGGGTCGGTCCCTGCGGTGCAGGCAATGCAATGCCCTCTCGGGGCCATTGCGCTCTCCGGTGGGTAAGCTGCCAAAGGAAAAGCCAGAGGAGGGCGCTAGGGGGAACTTCCTTATTCTTCGGCTCTGTGGAGAGAAAGGGAGAAAAGGTCACTGGTGTCACTCATGGCCTCAGCACCGTGCAGAGGGGCCGGGGTGAGGGGGGATGTTTGCAGTTGCAGAAGCCGGCTGGCCGGTGCTTCTCAGACACGGGAGGGGCACTCACCCCGCACCTTCAGCAAGACAGTCTGTGCCCCCGGCCGCGGGGCGCCTGGGACCCTGCCCCGGAGCCCGCCGGCCCCCACTGCGAGGGTGGAGGCACCTGGGTAGCTGGTGGTTAGGTCAGTCCCGCATCCGGGGAGGCGGGCAGGGCGGCACCGGCACTTGGGGTTTGGCCTGCGGCTACCCTGGCGTGTCCTGTGACCCCGGACTGCTTCCTAGTCCCGCTGGCCGGGTGCGGTCCCGCTGGGGACGCTGGCAGCTTCGGGCTGCTCCAATTCTTGTCCCTCTGGCGCCCTCTTCAGGTCAGAGTCTGCCCCTTTCTAGAAATTCACACTTTGGGCATGTCAGGCGGCAGAGACTAGAATGGCCCACAGCTGGGCTCCTGGGTCGCCTCCCCCTTGCCCACTGTGCTGCATAGGACACTTCCAGAGGGCTGTGTCCACTCCAGCACACTCGGCCGTCCTGCGGGCCTCCGGAATGGAGCAGCTGGGTCCCCCCTCTGGGCTGTCAGCCGGCCTGGCCTACAGCCCTGGCCCAGAGATGGGGAGACGGTGGCGTGCAGGGAGGGGCGTGGAAGTGGTGCTTTGTCTTTTTCCTGCCCGACTGGGAGCCAGCCGAGCCCCCCAGCTTCCCTCGCTCTGGGGTGAGGGGCACAGTCACCGGCCTGCACACCCACCGTCCCAGCCACTCTCAGGTGGACGTGGCACCCCAGAGAAGCTGTGGGGGGAGCGGGGACGCCCCAGCCAGGCGGCGGCAATGCTGAGGAGCCCGTGGGCCAGGAGGAGGGCGGGCAGAGACGACGCAGGTCTCTCTTCCCAGCAGCTGCCTCTGGGTCTGCGGAACCTCACCGCTGCCCGCCCCGTGGGCAGCGGAGGCAGATCTACAGACCTGGGCCCCTTGCCTTCCGTCCTGCTGCTTAAGGGCCATTCCTTGAAAACTGGTAAACTGAGGCTTCCGGGGCTTGCAGGTCATGTGACCATGCCCGAGCCAGGCTCCAGGTGGTTATGTTGGCTGAGCTGATACTTAAGGCCAGGGAGCTGCAGCATTGATTGCTCACTAGCCTGCACCCTGATGGACCTGAGAGCCAGGGAAGGCATTAGGAACAGGCAGAGTCGGTGGTAGGAATTGGGCCAGCTGGGACGAGAGCATCTTCTCCTGGCTCACGGTTTCGGCGGACAGACAGTCACACGCATGTGCTGTTCATGCCGACGCTCCTGGGCAGTTTTCTGGGCTCGGCTGGGGCCGGGCTGCCTCACGCCCACCCGCTGTGCCGGACCAGCCTCTGCAACCCAAGCATCGCGAGAGGGGAGGGGCACCCAGGAGCCCCACACGGGCACACGCAGGAGCTGGGCACACGCGGGGGCAGAGGAGCAAGCAGACGCCACAGGCAGACTCGCGGGGAGCATGCTGGGCGGGCGGGCAGGGGAGAGAATGGGCGTGAACTCCCCACCATGTGAGGAGCCCTGATCAAGGCCCACGAGGCCCGCCTGACCCTCCTCCGCTCAGGCACTCACTCCCCCGGTGGCCACCGCAGCCCGGGAGGGGAGGACCCCGGCCCGCCCCACAGAGGACGAAGTGTGAGTCGGAGGTCCAGAGACTCCACAGATCCAGGGGAGACCCTCTGGGGGAACGCAGTCTGCTGCCTGAGGGTAACGGGGAAGGCACCTCCCCCCCTCCCCCAGGCCTGGCCTGACCGGCCCTCCCGCCTGCAGCCAGGCAGCCGAAGGACAGGTCCTCAGGGCCTCCGAGGGACCACAGCTCGCCCTCTCCCTTAACCCCGAGCTGCCAGCTCCCTGATGGGGAGGCTTGTGGCCATGTGGTCCCTGCCGCATCCAGTAGCCGCGGCCCCGCAGGCAAAGGAGCCGGCCGGCTCCACCCGCCACCGGCCGGCGCCAACAAGCTGTGGCGTGAAGGCCTGCCGGTCCCACCGCCACCGGAGACGGGTTCCGCCTCCTGCTGTGCTGAGCTGTGCTGAGCTGTGCCACCTCCTCAGGGGAGGACCAAAGCCAGAAGGGTTCCCGCCACCCCTGCGGCCCCCACCAGAGGGCGCCAGCCCCCGCCGGCTGGGCCAGGAGGCGCCCCCGGGACTGGCCTGGGGAAGGGGCCTGTTGGCCAGGATCCCTGCAATCCCCGCACGGAGGAGACCGGAGAGCCAGAGGCGCGGTGCCCAGCCCGTGTTCCCTGGCGGTGCAGGCGGCGGAGGGTTAGACCACCCGGTCGTTTCGGGGACACACTGACAGACAGGAAGAGGGAGCACCCTCGTCTAAGAAGTCAGTCTCCTTACCAACAGGATTTGCAAGGACATTGTGGCTCAGGACCTAGGGAGCTCGCTACAGGGAAGTGAGGTCAGAGGTCAGCTCAATCCTGGAATAGAAAGCCAGCACACGTCGCGTCAGAGGCAGCGCCCCCGCCCTCACAGGGAGGGGGAGGCTCCCAGGCCACCCAGCCCGCCGCCCCAGAGGGAGGAGGGTGCTCCGCAGAGTGGCTCTGACTTCGGATGCCGTGAGTGGCCGGTGAGAGGACCGAACAGGTGGCCGAGCCTGCACTGGGCAGTAATCTGCCTTCCGAACAGGGTGTCCCCGGGTCTCCGGGTGCTGCGAGGGGGTGACTGACTCCTGCCACAACCAAAGGACTCCAGGCCACGGGCCGTCCGAGTGCATGGGAACGCCGGGCTCAGGGGCAGACCTGCTTCCCTCAGCCTCCTGCAGGGCGGGGTGGGCTGGAGAGGCACAGGGACCTGGGTGTGCGGGGGCCGGCGGGTCCCAGAAGAGCTCGGTTCTAAAGACGAGAAGCTGCGCCTGGGCGGTCGCTCAGGGCTCCCCGGAGCAGGACAGGTCAGAAATGCCCAGGACAGATGATAATGCCCGCGGGGCTGGGCCGGGAGGGCGCCAGGCCGGGGGGGTGCTGGGCCGGGAGGGCGATAGGCTGGGTGGGTGCTGGGCTGTGAGGGTGCTGGGCTGGGAGGGCGCTAGGCTGGGGGCGCTGGGCCAGGCAGGTGCTGGGCCGGGAGGCGGCAGCTGCGAGGGGATGAGCGGGAAGGATCGCCGTGCCCGGGGATAGATGGGTTTTGCCAAGAGCTCTGCGTGTAAGTGAACAGCTGGATCTCTCCGGGCCCTCCCCAGCACCTCTCTCTTTTTCTTTCTCTTTTCTGTGGGGGGAGGAGTGGGTGCAAGAATGGGCTCAGCACCTCCCCCCCAGGCCCCAAGGGCACTGTCTCCAGGGGAAACCGAGCCCGGACAGATACCGCCAGGAAGGAAAGACCCCGCACCGGACCTTGGAGGGTCAGCGTGGGTGCAGCTCACAGGAGCGAGCCCCTCTCCTGGCCCCTGGCCCCCCGCTGCTCCCACAGCCCCCGTGGAGGGGCCGCCTACCTCTGCTCCTCCTCCAGCTCCTCCTTGGTCATCATCCGCTTGTACTGGCTGCCCCGCAGCTGCCCGGGGCTGTACTGGAAGAAGGCCTCTCCTGCGGAGACACAGGGTGAGCGCCCGAGGCCCCCTCAGAAAGGGGCAGAGCCCCGGCACAGTGCCAGCCGGGCAGCCTGCCCCTCCCCTGCACTCAGGCTTCCCACAGCCTCCTCGAGAGCCCACGGCCACTCAGGAGCTCCCAGGAGTGGAAACGGGGCACCTACACAAAACCAGATGGCCCCCTCCTCGAACATCACGGCTCTCCCAGGACCAGGCTGAGCGGCCACAGGGCCCACCGAGCCCGCTGTCTGTGAGGCCGGCCCCATGGCTGCTGTGCTCAGTGCGGCCAGCAGAGGGAGCTCCTCTCCGGGAAGCAGGCTGAGCTCGGGCGCCGGGCTCCCTGCTCACCGCGGCCCCGGGTCCGGCACAGGGACCTCCCACCGAGGCCCCCATCCAGTCCCCCGGACCCGGGTCCGGGCCCCGCATCCAGGGCTGCCGAGTCGGCCAGGCTCATTGTCTCTGTGCCACAGCTGCCTTCAAGAGAACGAAGCGTCCAGGGGGAGGGGCCCTGTTGGGGAGCAGGCCTGTGCGTGATGGCTCTGTCTGCTGGGGACAGGCTGAGGGCTGGTCTTACCGACTCCCGGGAGGGAGTACAGACCTGAGTGCGGGAGCGGCCACACCCACACCCACCGGATTCTTTTCCCTTCTCTCTCCCCAGGGTGGGGGTCTCCGCACCTCCACACCCGCGGCTGCCCTGACCTCCGCGCCGCCGCCCCTGCCACATGGTCCCGCAGACAGGCGTGGGCCGAGGGGAGGCGCGGATCAGCTCTCAGGTCCTCTCCCGGCCACACCGGAAGGTGTGGGTGCACATTCAGGACCGGTCACGATGCTGTGGGGTCGGTCTGCCTCTCACTGCACTCGCTTAGGAGGTGGTGGCTCTAGCCCCTCCCCCGCCCTCCCCAGTGCCGGGGCTGAGACCTCCTTAGGGAGCAGTTACTTCTTTGGCGTTCACTCAGCAGACAGGGAGAACGGGTCTGGGTGTTGGGCCAGGGCCCGAATAAAGCACAGCAGACAAAGATGAGTGATTCAGGGTGGAGTTTACAATGGGTCCTGACCGCTCAGCTGACAGCGGGGAGCTGGGGAGGGGAAAGGAGGGGCAGGCCGCCAGGTGTCCACCTGGAGGGGCAGGGAGGCCTTAGAGTCAGCAGAGCAAGGAGACCTGGGATGGCCGGGGGCCGGCTCCTCTCCAGCTGAGAGACTGGGTGCCTCCCTCCCTCCTCACCGAGTCCCCCCTCCCTCTGCTGGCCCTCCCTCCGGCTTCCCCCCTCCCACGGCCGGCCCTCCCTCCCTCTGCTTCCCCCTCTCATGGCCCGCCCTCCCGGCCCTCCCTCCGGCTCCCCCCTCCCACGGCCGGCCCTCCCTCCGGCTCCCCCCTCCCACGGCCGGCCCTCCCTCCGGCTCCCCCCTCCCACGGCCGGCCCTCCCTCCGGCTCCCCCCTCCCACGGCCGGCCCTCCCTCCGGCTCCCCACTCCCACGGCCGGCCCTCCCTCTGCTCCCCCTCCCACGGCCGGCCCTCCCTCCGGCTCCCCCCTCCCACGGCCGGCCCTCCCTCCGGCCGAGCTGAGGGGCAGCGCTCACAGCGCGCTGGACGCAGGGCTGGGCTGGGAGCTGCGCCGCACAGTCCAGGCCCCGTCTGAGGCCTGCGTGTGGGGCACCGAGAGAGCCCACAGCCTGCCGTGGGCGGAACCCGGGCCGCACACTCCAGCAGCTGGCACCATGCTCCGGGGCCTCAGAAAGAGGCACCAGAGCCCTTAACCTCCCGCACGGCCGCTGTTGCCGTTTAGAGAAACAGAATGGAAGTGCTACCAGCTGGGCGCTGCTCAGCTCCAGTTCCCGGTGCGGGTCTGATGGGGCGGGTCTGGGGCAGGTCTGATGGGGCAGGTCTGACCAGGGCTGGTCTGGGGCAGGTCTGATGGGGCAGGTCTGACTGGGGTTGTTTCCAGAGACTCGCAGCAGTTTTCACTGATCACATGCAAGGACCACACTTCCAATCTGCTGGATCAGGAGGGCTCCGTGCAACATCCTTTTGGTCTCCTGTGAACCCCTGAGTGCTGAGGGACACAGGTCTGCCGGCCTGGCTGGGAGCCCATAACCTCTCCTCCCTCGTCAGGGCTGCCAGGAGGCGGCCGGGGGTGGGTGTCCAGGGCAGCGGTCAGATACGGAGGGAGGGCACTCGTCCTGGCTGCGGGGCCGCCAACAGCCTCAGCTTTGCTTTGTGACCCCAATTCACCGACAGGACCCCCACGTGGCAGCGTCAGTCCCCGGTTCCTGCAGACAGTCCGGGGAAACTGACAGCTGCTCTGAGGAAGAGGTCCTCCAGGGTCTGAAGTCCAACTCCCGCCCCCCCTCCGCCCCCCCCGCCCCCCTCGCCCCCCAGGGCCCTGCCCTCCCTCCCCGGAGGCTGTGCTGGCAGATGCAGACAGCCCTGCCCAGCCGCCCCACACCACCGGCCACTGCATTCCTGCAACCTCTTCCGCAGCTCCTGCCAGCAGAGGCTTAAAGTCACAGCAACAGCCTTGCTTTTTAAAAATTACAAAACAGCCCTGTCCTGTTTGGCTCAGCGGCTAGAGTGTCAGCCTGCAGACTGAAGGACCCCGGATTCTATTCCGGTCAAGGGCACATGTGGGAGGCAACCAATCAATGTGCCTCTGTCATTGTCTCTCTCTCTCTCTGGAAATCAGTGGGAAAATATCCTCTGTGACGTTTAACAACAAAAAATTCGAAATAGTTCAAACATACACAAAAGTATAGCAGCAAGCCCTCCGTGTGCCTGCCACATAGACTGAGCAAATGCTGACCTTTTTTTTGTTTGTTTAAGAGAAAACGTGACAGATCCAGCGGTGGCAGCTCCACAGGCGTTGGTTCCGTCTGTCTGTCCAGGCCCTGGCCCCAGGGGCGCCTCCCACTAGGTCAGGTTTGCATTGGTCCTTTTCCTCGGGGTCCTGGTCACTCCCTTCCTCTCCCGGCGCCTGGGCCCTGGTGGCCAGCAGGTCTGGCCCGTTAGCCAGAGCCCCTGAGGCCGGGCGCCCGCTCCTGGGGCGCACGCAGCAGCCGGAGTGGCTCTGGGCCCGTGACCCGGCAGAGGCGCCGGGAGGGAAAGTGAAGGCGTGGGGCCCTGACGCCGGGCGTGAGGGGCAGCGCAGGACCCAGGAGGTCGGGGTGCTCAGTTCCTCAGGAGGCGGGCCCTTGTGTTTGGAGCCGGCTCCCCATTTACAGACAGAGGAGGGCAGGGAGGTGGGGGGAGGGAGCAGCTCTGACCTGGACAGCACTCCGCGTCTCAGCCCTCTCCCTCATCCTCTCCCGACCCCCTCCCCTCAGACTGCCCTCAGACCCTCCGCTGGAACCCCAAGAGCCCACCGCAGCAGGCATTCATGGCCAGACGGCGCCGGCCGCGGTGCCAGGCCCACTCACCATCGTCCTCCTCAGGCTCTGCCGGGGGCGGCTCCTCCTCGCTGTCCTGCTCCTGCTCCTCGTCCTGCAAGATGGGGGTGGGGGTCAGTGCTGAGGGGGGTCTGATGTCCAACTCCATCATTGGGGGGGGGGGGTCAGTGCCGGGAGCTCAGGACTCGTGACACTGCCACTCGGCGCCTGACCTTGGTAGAACCAACCTGCCCGGGCCCACTTGCGGAGATGCCCGCAGCAGCGTGGGTGGTGGGCAGCATGCCAGGCAGAGGGGCAGGCCAAGGCCCAGCCTGGCCATGCGCGCTCCGCGCCTGTGCTCTGAGCGTGTGCGGGACGGCCGAACAGGGCTCCGCGGCAGGTGGAGTGGGTGCACACACCTGGCCGAGACGATGGGGGCCCTGGGCCGAGGGCCGGGCCCGGACCTTGCCCCGTCCCTCCTTAGGCGGGTGCTGGCCAAAGCGTTGGCGTGCCACTTTGATGAGGGACCGGGGACCCCCACACTCTCGCGACAGTGAGGACAGAGGACAAGGAGGAAAGGCCGGCTTATCTGGGCGGGGCCGGCCCCACAGAGGCTGCCTCCGCGGTCACGGCTCCGTCCGGCCCCGCGCCCTCCAACACCGTTCTGCCCTCACATTGTCTTTTCTGCCCCAACCAGCTCAGCGCCCCGTTTCCCCGAACCGAAGCCCTGCCTCTCGCCCGCTGTCCCCCCGCAGACTCGCAGACAGATTAGCAGATGCTGGGAGGGCCGGCCTGGGATGGCCCCGGTGGACGGAGTGACTTCAGCTCGCAGGATTCTGAGGGCGAGGGAAGTGCCCGTGGCTCCCGCGATGGGGGTGCAGGGTGTGGCGGGGCCTGTGGCCCCGGGAACTGTGGCTCGGAGGCCGGTGGGCTAATGTGGAAAGGGACACAGCACGATGAGCGGCCCAGGGAGGTGGCAGCACCGCGGACAGACCCGGCCAGCGTCGGGCTCCGCTCCGGGTCCAGCCAGCCTGCGCCTCGCAGGAGCACTGGGCTGAGCGGGACGCAAAGTGCACAAGCCTGAGAGCTGTGCCCTCTCCCGGACCACACGCAGCACACGCAGCTGGCGGCTGGGCACGGACAGGGCGGCTCTCCTCTCAGCCTCAGCCCCATTGCCACGTGGGCCAGGCTGCCCTGGGCCCCAGTCGGTGCCCGGGGTCTCCCGCAAAACGTCTCTGTGGCCGCAGGGTCCCCAAGACGTCCACGTGTAGGGACGCGCTGGACTGGAAGGCCGTCCACAGTCAGTTATGTGCGTCAGAAAGCAAAGCGACGCTCCTGAATGAGTACCCAGAGTGACACGTTACAGGTCAGCATGTTTGGTTAATATGTTCACCAAAATATCACCCGTTACATGTGTTACCGTGCGTGCAGACCACCCAGCACCGAGTACTGAAAAGGAGGCGTGGCTCAGCAGTTGAGCGTCAGGGTTTGATTTCTGGTCAGGGCACATTTACCGGGTTGTGGGCTCGATCCCCAGTGGGGGGGCGTGCAGAAGGCAGCCGATCACTGATTCTCTCTCATCATTGATGTTTCTTCCTCCTCCCCCTCCCCGCCTCTCTGAAATCAGTAACAATATTTAAATAAATAAATATGTTCAGCCTCCCGGGGACCTGCCGCACCTGTGACAGGTGGGCATGGTGGCCTCTGGGAGGGCAGCCAGCTCTCCGAGGGCCACGCTCCTTGCTTCAGGATGGTGGCCTGTGGCGCCAGAGGGAAGACATAAAGGAAAGCATGTACACGATGCTGGAGCCTCGCTGGCTGCCCTTGGGGGTTTCCCTCAGGCTGACCGCGCCTCCCACCGTTAGCTCTCCTTCGGCACACGCAGGTTTTAGGAACGCGGTCCATCTGGGTGACGCAGCGGGGTCCTCGGGAAGGACTGAGCCTGAGGGACGCGGGGAGGCCGTGGAGGGGGCGAGATTCTGAGCGGGTGTGAGGGGAGGCTGCCAGGTCCGGGTCTGTGGTAGCTGGTTACGAACACAGCCTGCTCTGATGGGAACAAACCGGTTTCATGAGAATTGTGAGTGGGCGACACCCTCAGAGACACGCCTGGTGTCACCCCGGCGGGTCCCCAAAGCAGGCCCCGGCCGAGACCCAGCCCTGCCCCCACTGCCCTGTCTCAGGCCGAGACCCAGCCCTGCCCCCACTGCCCTGTCTCACATCCTATTATTGGACGGTGACTGATCGGCTCTGAGGGGGTGGGTGTGGGCAGAGCTCGGGGACGTGCCTTCCCAAACCTCACCATGCCGGAGGCCCAGTGTGGAGGGTGGGCAGAGGGTCAGGCAGGTGGCTGTGGGGCACAGAGCGACTCAGAGGAAGCCTGGCTTCTAGGAGCACCGAGAGCCGGACACAAGCCCTGGCGCAGCCCCTGCCATTTACGGCTGCCCTGGGCTCCAGCCTGTCCTCACCGGGAGGCAGGGGAGGGAGAGGGACGGAGACAGAGAGACACATCTGCCCGCCTGCCTGTCTGCTCTCAGGTCCTGCAAACAGGGTTGCTGGGACCCTGTGACCTGCCCCCTGAGCTGCCTCCTGCTGTGACCACCCCCCTCCCCCTGGTTAATGGGGGTGACGTTGGAGGACCCATCTCCACCAGGCGGGGTGGAGGGGCGCGGGGAGGGGGGGCAGGTTAACTCACTCCGGTGGGACGCTTGTCCCTCCGCTCTCAGGGGCCTGCACTCAGGGGCCTGCACGTACCACCCAGTAAGGCAGCCGGGCAGGCCCAGGAGCCCCCACCTCCCCCGATGGGCAGGCCGCCTCCGGCCCGGGCTCCACGCAGGCTGCGGCCTGACTGCCCCCTCCCTCCAGCTGGTCCATCAGGCATCCCGGCGGCTGGTCTGCAGCAGAGGGAGCCTCGCCTGGCGGCGGGGAGGGGGTGGGGAGGGGGCAGAGAAAGCTGGGCTGGCGCCAGCGCGGGCTGCCGGGCGGTGCGGCCGGGTGGCTGCACACAGACCAGCACGGCTCAGCCACCGCAGGCTCCCAACGCCGCTCCGGGCGGGCGAGGCCGCAGCTCTGCGTCCGCCTGCCCGGGGAGGCACAGGCACAGGGACAGGCCTTCTCGTCCTGACCCGGCCCCTCGCGGCTCGCCAGCTGTTCCCGGTCCAGCATGGTGCCCTCGCTGTGGGGCATGTGCCTGGCTGCAGGCTTGATCCGGCCCAGGTCAGGCATGTGCGGGAGGCAACCAATGGATGTGTCTCTCACACCGATGTTTCTCCCCTCCCCCCTTCCTCTCTCCCTAAAATAAATTAAATATATATATATATATTTTTTAATTGATTTTGTGCAGAGAGGAAGGGAGAGAGATAAAGAGCTAGAAACATCGATGAGAGTCATCGATCAGCTGCCTCTTGCACACCCCCTACCGGGGACGTGCCCGCAACCAAGGTACATGCTCTTGACTGGAATTGAACCCGGGACCTTTCAGTCCCCAAGCCGACGCTCTATCCATTGAGCCAAACCGGTTTTGGCCCTAAAATAAATTTTTATTTTTTATTTTTATTTTATTGATTTTTCACAGAGAGGAAGGGAGAGGGATAGAGAGCTAGAAACATCGATGAGTGAGAAACATCGATCAGCTGCCTCTTGCACATCCCCGACGAGGGATGTGCCCGCAACCAATGTACATGCCCTTGATCGGAATCGAACCTGGGACCCTTCAGTCCGCAGACCGACGCTCTATCCACTGAGCCAAACCGGTTTCGGCCTAAATTAAATTTATTAAAATTTTTTTAAAAGAGGACGGGCAGGAACAGGGGCCACCCGCCCTCCGCGAGCAGCTCTGCCTCTGCCTGGGCGCGGGCCCTCCGAGCTCGCAGAGAGCAGGGAACAGGCTGGGAGGGGCGCAGAGGGACCGGCTGCGGTGACTTCAGAAAGGCCAGCTGCGTGGCGAGGACAGCCGAGGGTCCGAGCAGCCAGCCCGTCCGGATGCTCCCCCCGGTTCCTGTGTCTGAAAGGCCCAGCCCCGGAGGCTGGGAGGACAGGGCAGTGACCGTCATGTCCTCACCCAGGGCCGCCCACTGTCCACCCGTCAGCATCTTCGTGCTCTCCCCCTCCCTCCCCCGCACCCCCACACGTGTGTGTGTGTGTGTGTGTGTGTGCGCGCGCGCACGCGCGCACGCGCGCGTGTGTGTGAGTGTGTGTTAATGCGTCTTCCCAGGAACAAGGCCATTGTGGACCGAGCACTCAAGCTGAGCGCTGAAGCAGTAAAACGATCTCATGGACCATTCGCTTGAAAAACGTCCCAGCTGCCTCCCCAGCGTCCGTCACCGCGCCCCACCCCCACTCCACCCGTCCAGGACCCGGTCAGAGGCTGGCACTGCCCTGGTCTGCCAGGGCCCTCGCGCCTCCTCTAATGCAGGGGTCTCCGCCTGTCTGGTTGGGGACGGGACACGGCCAGCTGCCGAGGAGGTCCCTGCTCCGTCTGAGCGGAGCCGGGACCTGACCCTTCACCCTTGACCACTGTTAGGAAGCCATGATACAGCCTCACCCGAACCACACCTCATTAGGTCAGAGCCTGGCAATCCTAAAATCCCCGCCTCACAGCAGCCCAGAAAAGCCGTTTCTGGCCTTAAAAGGACCCGCTCCTCTCCGGAGTTTTCCACGGTAACTCTTGTTGGGGGTGGGGTGCGCCTGTGGTTCTTCCCCACACTGAGCCCTGAGAAATGCAAGAAAGGGGTTCTCATCCTTGGACTGCCTCTGCCCGCCGCCCTGCCCTGGCCGGCTGACCCTTTCCGTCCCGCTCAGGTCCCGGCCCCGGGCTCAGGTCCCGGCCCCGGGCTCAGGTCCCGGCCCCGGAGGGCCCTGGCCCCGCGGGGACGTTCCCGGCTCCCCCGGCCCCCAGCCCGGCGGGAAGCTGCTGCTCTGGGCTCCAGGTCCTTCCCAGTAATCAGCTTTGTGAGGGGAGCAGCAGCTGCCGGCCTCCGGGCGGGCAGGGCAGGCCGCGGGGATTAGCAGGGATGTGGTTAATGGAAAAGCAGGGGGAGGGGAGAGGCGAGTTAAGTGCTGCTCTCTGGGCAGGAACTGCCCCCTCGTCCCCTCCCCCTTCCTCTCCTCCCCCTCCCCCCGCTGCCCTTCACTCAGGGAGAGGCCCGGGGCGCTGGGCCTCACCTGCCTCCCAGACAGACCTGCTCTGTTTCCCCGGGGCCGTCAGCTCCGAGGGCTCCGGCTGGGACAGCCCCCCCCCACCCCCCGCCCCCGGACAGCCCGGGGACAGACTGGGCCTGCGCTGGCGATGAGCGAGGCCCTTCCAGACAAGTTCAGAGCAGCTTCTTCCAGGGGACCCCACACGGACGGCTGTGTGCCCATTAGGTAAGGGGGCTGGACAGCCCAGAAAGGGCTGGGGGCCTGAGCCCACAAGGGGAAGGCCCCTGAGAGGACACGGACTCCACATTAATTCTCGGTCAGTGGTGGCACCTCAGGACGGGTCAGGAGCACGCTGTCTGCGCCCGCCCGGACGGTAAGGGCCTGGCCTCCCGGAGCGCAGCGGCTGGCGCTGCAGGACCAGCGGGGACCCACGTGGTAGGTGCCAGCTGCAGAGCCCGGGCCTTGAGAACGCCCTCTCAGCAGGGCTGTGCCCAGAGGACCCACATCGGGCACAGGGCCGGGCACCACTGACAGGCATTTAACTCTCAGTCCAGAGCGGCCACGGGGCGAGAAGGCCACGGAGTGGAGGGCAGCCTGGGCCGGCGGCTCCCAGCTCCCCCGGGGCCTGGGTGCAGGGGGGCAAACCCCCGCTGCCCGCCTGGGCGCCTCAGGTCCCCGAAGAGCACCAGTTCCCATCACACTGGGCCGTCCATCCCGGACGCACACGGCAGCCGCCTCAGTCCAGGCTGGTGACAGAGAAGGTGGGGTCTCAGAAAAACCTCTCCTCCCCCCGCCCCGCCCCCCAGGCTGTCTCCAGTGTGAACCATTGTCTCCAGTGGACCTCGGAGTGGGCCAGTTGCTGCCCCGAAGCCGCACTCACGGTTTCTACCCCAGCCCATCCTCCCGGCCATCCTCCCGCCAGGAGCGAGCTGGAGTGCGACCAGGCATCTGGCCAGACCCGGACCCTCGGAGGCCCCAGGGGCTGGAGCCTGGGACGGAGGCTTCCAACCTGGAGAGGAGCCTGGGCAGGGAGACACCAGGCACTCTCTGGATGCAGAGCCAGGCCAGCGGGGCATCTGGGCCGACCTGGCAGCAGGCGGGTGGGCGCTCAGCTGGGGCATGTATACCGGTCCCCGTCCCCCCCGCCACATGCCGGGGCGCAGGTGCAGCGGGAGCAACCGGGAAAGGACCGCGGGGGCGGCTGCGATCGCCCGGCCTCGGCGCTGTCCCACCCCCTGCGGCGTGACATCACCGCTCCGGCCCCGGGCACCGGCGGAGGGAAGGCACCGGCCCTTCCTTTCTCTGCACGGGGGCCGCTCTGCGCTCCGGAAACCGGCCGCCCGCACGTGGCCTGGGGCCGCGGGGCCCGGAGCGCGGGGCGCGGGGCGCGAGGAAAGCAGCCCAACAACAACGCAACTCGGACGGGCGGGCCCGGGAGCCACCCTCCGGGGAGGACATGAGTTCGCTCGGCGCCGCTTTCCTCCGACCGCCCCGCGGCGGGGGGCGCGTTCCCGGCTCCGGGGGGCGCGGGGCAGCGGCGCCGGGATGGGATCGGCCGGACGGGGAGGGGCCGGGCCGTACCTGCTTCTCCCCGGCGGCCTGCTGCTCCGGCTCCGCGGGCTCCCGGCGCGCGGCCGCGTCCTCCGTGGCCGCGGGGCCGGGCGGCGCGGGGGGGGCCGGGGGCGCGGGCTCCGGGGCCGCGCGGTCGGGGGGCGCGCTGGCGGCCGGGGGGCGCCGCAGCAGCAGCCAGGCGAGCAGCAGCGCCAGCGCCGTGGCCAGAGCGGGCAGCGCGGCCAGCAGCCCCGCCAGCGCCTCCATCGCCCGGCGCCCGAGTGCGCCCGCCGGGACCCCAGGAGCTTCCCGGCTCCGCCCCAGGGCGGGGCCCGGCTCGGACCGCCCCTGCCCGCCCCCCGGGGTGACGGACCGGGGACGGAGCCCTTCTGAGGCCGCGGGAGGAGGGAGCCTTCTTTGCCGGCGGCACCGACGCTCCGAAAGCCGATGGGATGACCGTCATCCTCGGCATCGTTCTGGGCCTGTCCGGAGGGTCCTCTTAGAGAATTCGGAAACATAAGTGCCAATTTGGGCCAAGGAAAGCCAGGAAGCTCAGGGGCACTGGCCCGGGACTTCCTGGAGGAAAGAAAGCCACCGCCGACCCGCTCAGGTCCAGCGTCCCAGGCTGCCTCCCCGCGCTCAGAGGCGCTGCCCCTCGGCCCCTCCGCCCTCCGGCCGCCGCCGCCTTCAGCACAAAGCGCTGCCGGGAGCCAGCTCCAGCGGCCTGGGGCCACGGCTTCTGGTTCATCTCTGCCTAACTGATGCCTGGGCGGGTGCAGGGAGAGGAAGCCCCTGTCCTAGCTTCGCCAGGTGTTTGCTATGAATGTGTTGTTCCCCAGAACACCGTTCCTTTTCCACCCCCACCTCCCCAAGAGTGTCATCTTCTATCAGCTCATTCACAGGAGCAGCTCCCGCCCTGGGGGTAGAAAGGATGGATCCCGAGTGCCCACCTCCTACCTGGCCCTGGTGCTGATCGCCCGGCCCCACTCCACTCCTTTGTCCCCACCTCACCCCTGATCCATTATTTCCAGATGTTGGTTATCAAAGAGGAATCACTTGGGGGAAACTGGGTGGCTAATCTCCAGTTCACATCCAGCTCAGTCCCAGCCCTGACCGGCTGCCACGCCCCCTGGCGGCAGACAGCCTCTGCTTTTGTGTTCTGTGCGCGGCAGCTGGGGGAGGAGCCGCTGTGTGATGTGAGGGGAGGGGGAGTGATAGGCGGATAGCAACATTGGGGCAAAGCTCACAGCCTTCTGAGGAAGCAAGGAAAGTTCTTTAAAAGGGAGGGAAAAACAGGAGGAGGAGGAGGAGGAGCAGGAGCACCATTCATATAACGGAGACTGGCCTCAGGGTTTGCACTCAGTCCTCCAGACAGACGTGGCCGCCTTGTCCGGTGTGGGAGGGGAGAGCAGCACCAGGGAGGGAGCATGTGGTGTTTGGTCACCTGACTCCACCGGAGCCGCTGCTTCTGACCGTCACAGCAGCCTGGCACAGGAGAGTGGGCACACCTCGGGCTCTGTAGATGGCATTCCCCCTGGTTAGGACTTTCCCATGCAGGGCACCCCATCGAGGGCACGCGGTGGAGTCACTGTCCCCCAGGACCACGACAGGAGGAGTGAGTGACACACGAAGGTTTTGGTATTCTCAAAGGAAAAAAACTCAAAGATGTAAAATGCATTTCGTTTTTATTAAATAATGTACAGGTTTCCTTGGCACCATCCACAGAGGTTCTTGCCTTTATGCATAAAACCAGCCACAACCACGGCGATTTGCTTCGGCAGCCAGTGCTGAGCGTCCTCCTCCTCGGCTCTCGGGCTCGCCGTGTGCGGAGCCCCCAGGCCGCCCCGCCTGGCCGCCCGGCGAGCTCTCCGCCAGAGGAGCCGGCGCGTCACCTGGAGGAGCTGCGCTCCTTGCTCACGCAGTCGTCCTGGGAGGTGGTGTCCCCGTTCCCCATCATGCTGCAGGTCCGCCGCTTCTTCCTGCGGTGCATCGTCCCGTCTCCTTCGGACCCCGTCTCACACTGGACACGGGAGAGAAAGCACTTCAACCACGGAGCCTCCGGCCTCAGGAGACGGCGCTCGTGGTCCGTCCCCCGGAAGCCAAGCAGCCATGCAACTGCTCCGCAGTGCGGTCCGAGTGCCACCAGGCGTGCCTGGTGCCCGAGAACCCCATCTCCCCGCAGGGGGCTGTCTCTCCCCCAGGTCCCCCGTGTTCTCTGACAGGAGGTCTCTGAAACCAGGGCACCCCCTCAGAACACCGAGTCACCATTCAGAGGCTGCACCACGGAATTTTATCGACCAACACAGCCTGCTGCGTGAAAGCAAGCACCGCACGTCACGATCATAAGACACCACCTCCCGCCACGAGAAAGGACAGAGCCCCTCCGAGACGGAGGAGGCAGGGGTTCCCGAAAGCGAAAAGCCCCCTCTTCCCCTCCTGCCGGGAGGAGGGAGTCGCTGCTGCCCGGGACCTGCCCTGGAGGCCCGGGGCGAGCGGGCTCACCTCCGAGTCCGAGTCGGACGAGCTGGAGCTGGAGGAGCTGGAGGAGTCGCTGGAGCTGTCGGAGGCGATCCCTGTGGATTCCTGAAGGTCAACGGAGTCAGCCAGGACGGCCAGCTCGGGGTGCTCCTGCTTCAGGATCCTGAGAGACAAGGAGCGCCGATCTCAGGGTTGGCCCGGCCAGACAGGGACGCAGTCCGCAGGCTGGGAGCGGAGTCCACACGCTCCGGCTTTCCCGGAAGGAACCCGAGCTCCATCTCTCCGGCCACCAGCACCGGGCCGGACGCACTGCCACTTCGTGGCCAGGTTTCCCTGACTTAGTCACCTTCCCCCTGGGGGGTCAGTCTCTGCCTCATTCCCTGCGCTTTCCTGGCTGTTTGTGAACTCCCTTTCCACACACAGCACACACTTAACGGTCGGTGTTGCACTGACAATGAAACTCTACCGGTGAGAGTAGAAGCCAACAGGCCTGTGAGGATAAAACGGATCGGGCACCTAACTTGGACGGTAACGGGACAAAGCCCTGCAGAGAAGGCCCCATAACGGCCCACGGGGCAGGCGGCAGCCTATGGAGGGCGACGGGCCTCAGGTGCCCGAGTCCGGGAGAAGCCACCACCCTTGCTGGCCCTCTCAGCAGGGCGCTGGCCCTGAACAAGCCAGAATCCCTCTTACCCCGAGAGCTGGTCCCTCCAGGTCAGGGTTGGGACACAGTGGCACGGGGTGGCTGGGGGTGGCTTGCACTGCCGCTGCCCGTGCTGTATCTGTGCTGTGGATAAACAGAGGAGCTAAGTCTCGGGGCAGTGACCTCACTCCTGGGAACTGAAGGGAGCAAGTTCAAACGGGAATAATGCTGCCAGGCAAGGAAAAGAAACAAGCAAAATAAAACCCACTCAAAACGGCTTCCTCTGCTAGTGAAGGTAAGCACCGCACAAACCGTTCTAGCTCTGGGGAAAGCAAAAGACAAAAGGGAAAACGACCCCGATGATGCGCTTGATGCTCTGATCACCGGTGTGGGGCCACCTGCTCCTAAGAGCTAGCCCTGAGCTTGACCCTCTCCCTGCACCCGTGCGCTCATCAGCCCGCGTCCGCCAGGCCCGCCTAGCTCAGCCCACCGCGGGCTCTTTCCATGTTCTCTCCGGTAGAAATTGGGACAAAGCAAAAATAAGAAAAAAAATGGCTCTCACCTATACCATTTCCTGGACAACTTTGGTCTCCCTCTTACCGTCTTGTGCCATACAACAGGGAAGTTGGTGCTGCTGGCAAAATTCTGGGTGATGGCAATGGTGGTGTCAAGATTGAGGACAACATGCCACCAGCCTCCTGAAACCCAACAAGGAAACCGTTAGGGGCCGGGCTCTGTACCCATCGCTCTAGAACATCAACATTACACAGCATTGAACGTGAGCTGCAGGCAGGGGTCGCTCCCACCGGCGGGGCCTCGGAGACGGGCAGTTTACTGGGGGACAGCTGTGCCCACCCTCTGGGCTGTCTGTGACTGTTTCCCTGCCTCTAGGCCAGTGCCTGACGAGCTCTCTCTCTGGGCCTTTACAGAAAAGGTGTGTCCTCTCCTGTAGCTCCCAGCTGGGACCCAAACTGTGAAGGCAGCACGTTCTCCAGCCTCTGGGAGGAGGACGTCAGCCGGAGGCATCAGGGATGGAACGGATTTCCTGCCTCTGGGCTCTAGGTCTCTATTCCTGGCTCAGCCCGCCCAGTCCGACACTGTATCAAGCTCCAAGCTCCAGAAATATGCACAAGTCACAGAACACACACACGGCACTGGGGAAACTAAGGATAAAAACGGGTGGGATCCGAAATGCAGAAAGGGTATCGATAGCCATTAGGTATCGAGGTGATAGTGGACAGCAGTGCCCCGAGCACCTGACAACACAGAGCATGTTGCTGTCAGAGGCGGGCAGACGGCTCTGGAGTCGGCATGGAGGGCTTTCCTGGGCTCACTCTCTAGTTCTGCTCCGAAGGGACAAACGACTAAACTCAGAGAGCACTCTGCTTCAGTCTGTCTGTACCTGGCACAAAGACAGTCTCTCCCGGCTGCTGCAAGATTTCTAGGGGTCTGAACTCGGGGGGCCAGGTTGGGAGCTGTGTCCGGGGATAGATGATCTTAAACCAGGTGATGGCTTCATCCTGCTGGTTCCCCCCTTCGTCGCGCGTCACCTTGATGAGCTCCCGGGGTGTGCTGGTGGGGAACAGGCACCAGCGCTTGTGGCCCTGCACCAAGGCGTTCCAGGCGCTGGTGCCCAGGGGGTCGATGTGGATTCCGGTCCCGGAGCGCGGGGGCCCCATCACAAACCACCTGCAGGAAGAAACACCAGAAGTGAAGGGCAATGTCACCACATCCCCACGTGCCACAAAGTAGCACGCTTGCATTTTCACACACGACACTGTGTCATCTTGGTTTCCGAGACAACACACATTTCGGCACCTAGAAATGCTGAGTGAATTGTGGGCGGACAGTTCACCAATGAAAAAAGGAAAACCACTAACGGGCGCAGCACTGGACTCACAACTTCCCTTGCAGATCAGTGGTTGTCTTGGGTTGCACGGCCAGTCATCTGGAAGCTTCCAGAAATCCCCAGGCCCGGGCGGCACCCAGACGGATTCAACCAGAGTCTCTGGACCCCAGTGGGCATCAGCAGCCGCCAGAGTCAGTCCCAGGTGCAGCCCAGGGTTAAGCACGCACTGCTTTGCAGAAGGGGGCGGGCTGAGGGCCCCAGGGCCTTACCTGTAAGGGGGCCTGCGCTTCTCCCCCGCGTACTGGAACAGGTCGTCGGTGAAGAACTTGGGCACCTGGTAGTCCTCCAGGAGCTTCCTCCTCTTGGGGTGCTCGCCGTAGCTGCTGTCGAAGATGTACAGGGGGCTGTCGTCCCGCGTGCTCTCCATGTACTCGATGTAGTACTTCATCTTCATCTTCACCGAGTAGCCGTCGTTGTCCTCCCCGCACTTGAACTTCTGGTTGCGGTACTTCCTCTTCAGGCGCTCCAGTGTCCATTTCTCCTGCGCGGACCAGCCCTCCTGGGCGTTGAGCAGCACCACGGGCTTGTAAGGCCTCTCGTATCGCTCCACGAAGTCTTCCACCGAGAGCTGCAAGGCGTCCGCCCGCTCCACGTTATCCTGAGGGAAGCAGAGAGGATCTACCCAGTTTTTAAAGAATCAGGCAACTAAAGGTGTCCCCAGGGCCAACTAGCAATGCCATACCTAAGGAGCCAGGTTTTTGTTCCGGCTTCTGGCGGGGGTGGGGGTGGGGATGAGGCGGGGGAAGGACCTGCCCGCGTGCGGGTACGACGCACCCAGAGCCCCCGCACCTGGGGCGGCTTCGCATCTCCCCCTTGGGGCCTCGTCTCTTTGACAGCCAGGTCCCCGCGGGTCCCGCCGTCCAAGAGGATCAGGGAGCCACAGGCCTTCTCTTTGAGGCGCCAAAGCCGTGAGGGTGCAGCTGCCCGGGCAGGGGAGGCGGAAGGGGTGTGGGACCCCGGGCGCGGCGCGGGCGGACTGTGCCCGGGGAAAGGCGCGGCCGCGGGGAGCCCGGCCCCGCCGCGATGCCCGCGCGCTCACCGCCACGGCCGCCGGGTTCAGCGAGAAGCTCTCGTAGTAGTTGTGCCGGGTCCAGTCCAGCGAGTCCTTGAGCTCCGGGCGCGCACTCCGCTTGGCCTCGCGGATCCGCTTCTTGCTCTTGTGGTTCATCCTGCGGGGCTCGCCAGCCAGTTCCGCGACGACCGCCGCGCTGCCCGCTCCTGCCGCCGCCGCGCTCCCTCCCGGCCCGGCCACGGCCGCACCGCAACGCCCTTCGCTCGGGCCCGGCGCCTTCAGAGCCGCCTTCCAGAAAATTCACTCCCCGACCTCCGCCCGGGCCGCGGGTTGGGCGTGCGGCTGCCGTCTTCCCCGCCCCCCGGCCGCTCGCGGCCCGCCATTGGCCTGGGCGCCCGCAGGGCCCTCCTTCACAGACGCCGGGACGCTGCCATGTTGGGAAGGTCGGGCTGCCGAGGCACCGCCCCCCGCGGCGGGCTTCCTGTGCGTCACTTCCGGCGGCGCCGCTTGTCAGCAGCCGACTTCCGCCGGCGTGCCGCACGCGCCTCGCGCTCCGTGTCCCCAGTTTCCTGGCCCCGGGCCTCCTCCCCGCGCTGCCGCTCCGCCGCCGGAGGGGCGCCCCCCTTTCTGGCTGACGTTTTAGGGGCCCGACGGGGCCGCGTGGCGCCGGGGAAGCGGCCCAGCCTGTCCCGGGCCCCGCGCGCACAGCCTGGCGGCCCGGCGCCCTCCGCCGCTGCCGGCCCTCCCGGGACCCACCGACTCCTCGCTGGGTGGCCGTGGCCTCCGGGGGCATGTGGTGCGGGCCCAGCGCTTTCGGTTCTCGGAGGAGCCGGGCCTGGGAGCGGAGGGGGCCCTGCTGGAGGTCCGCGTCCCGCAGGTGCGTGAGCGGCCCCCGCCCTCGGCGCCGCGGCCCTTGGCGCCCTGGCCTAGCGGTTCTCAGTGCACCGAGCGGGGCGGGCAGAGGGGTGGGGTCCGGCTGCCTGGCTGCGGGATGGTTTGGTGTGAAGCCTTTGGCATCGTACGTTTTTCAGTGAGGAAGCTGGGGAGCCTGCCAGGAAGGAGCTAATCCACTCCGTTTCCTGCCAGAAAAGTGGCATTTTTAGCACCTAATGTTTTCTTTGATCTCGTTGAAGGGCTTCTTAATTGAGCTTCCTCTGGGAACGGGAGCTCCAACCCTCACTGGTGAAGTGAAGCGTTGGGGTTGGCACTCATTTCCTTTCAGTTCACGAATGTCCCCAAACTCAGTAATTGTACCTTGTAGGCGTCCGGTTTTCCAAAGCCTTTTCACGTTGCAGCCTTTCGTTTGGTTTTTAACAGCGGCCTGTGACACGGTAACAGTTTAAAGATGAAACAGCTTAAGTGGAACCTATTTCTGAAAGTTGCTAATGCCTTCCCGCTGAAATACCCATTTGGATTTCTTCCCAATTGTAGGAAGTGAACATATTCCCTGTGAGAATAGAGGCCCCTTTTTTATTTTCTTTTTTTAATAGATTTTTATTGATTTCAGAGAGGAAGGGAAAGGTAGCAACATCAATGATGAGAGAGAATCACTGACTGGCTGCCTCCTGCACGCCTCCTACTGGGGATCGAGCCCGCAACCTGGGCATGTGCCCTTGACCCGAATTGAACCCCCGAATTGAACCTGTGACCCTTCAGTCCCAGGCCGATGTTCTATCCACTGAGCCACCCCGATCGGGGCAGGGCCCCTTTTCTTTACACCCAAATCTGCACAACTCTAGTCATTGTCCTGAGTAAAGTACCAGGCAGGCGTTTTTGCCTCTCATTCACCCTACAGCCTACAGGTGGGACAGGATCTAAGCATGTTTTAGGCACTCACATGTTGAGTGGATGAGGTTCAGACCTCAGTTCCTTCACCTTTGTTACTTTTTAAAAAAAAATATATTTTATTGATATTTTACAGAGAGGAAGGGAGAGAGATAGAGAGCTAGAAACGTCGAGAGAGAAACATCGACCAGCTGCCTCCTGCACCCCCCCCACAGGGGATGCGCCCACAACCAAGGCACATGCCCTTGACCGGAATCGAACCGGGACCCCTCAGTACGCAGGCCGAAGCTCTACCACTGAGCCAAACCGGTTTCGGCACCTTTGTTACTTTTACTTCAGCCCCATTTGTACCACCCACTAGGCGCACCCTTTGCTCTAGGAAACAGGCCTGCTGTTGCAGTGTGTTTAATGATAGTGTGTTGTTTGCTTATTTTGTGCCTGGCACTGCACTCAGTAGTTGGCATTGAATCTTTCTGTTAGCCCAGTGCTAGTATTTTGTAATTGAGGAACCTGAGCACAGACTTAATAACTCGAGTGAGGTCACACAGCTGGTCAAGTCCAGACCTGGAGTTTGAAGTCGGGCACTTAAAAGCTGTGAGCTATGTTATGTTGCCTCGCTAAATACCAGGCTCTCACAATTTTCTTTTTCAAAGGTTTTGTAAGCTGCCTGCCTTCGAGGGGATATAAAGCTATCATATGATAAGCACTCTTCACACGTTTATTCAACAAGCATTTATCAGAGACTCGTGGCCACTCAAACCTCTTCCAGGATGTCTTCCTAGGACCACATTGTTTCTCATTAGCACACCAAGTTATGCCTGTGCTTAAAACGCTCCAATACCTTCTTGCATTTAAAAAAAAAAAAAAAAAAGCTACGTTTCCTGTGGCCTGTAAGAGGGCAGTTTGGTCCCTGCCTCTCCGTGACCTGTTTGCACTACACAACCCTGCCTCCAACCCTCCGCCTGTGCTCCCTGTTGTCCAGCCAGAAGCATTAGTTCCTGCTTCTGGGTCTTTTGTCTGAATCACCCACGCTCCCTATCTAGTGCAGCCACCTTGTGGTCATTGTCCGTCTCTCCCCGCCCCTCCTCCCCCATTACTCTCATATCACCCCGTTTGTGGTTTGTGTTGTGCTTATAGCATTTTCATGAACCAAATTTCTCTCTCCTTACTTGCTGCCTGTCACTCCCTAGTAGGGTACATATGCTCCATGAGTTACATCCTCAGCCTAGAAGCCATTAAGCCACGAGTCTGAATAAATGCTTGTTGAATGTTTGCAGAGTGCTTACCACACGGTGTAGCAGTTTTATCGCCCCTCCCCCTCCCAAAAAGATGTGAATTGGAGAGCAGGGGAATGTCACTTTTGTAATGGATGCCGGAGTCAGGCACTCAATTGTGATAAGTATTCCAGGAGATGAGTTATTTTGTACAAAAATTCTTTTCAGGTTCTGCATCTTCAGTATGGAATGTACGCTTGGCCCTGTGCTGTAGTCCTGGCCCAGTACCTGTGGTTTCATAGAAGATCCCTACCAGGCAAGACTATCTTAGAGGTACATGTGCCCTTGAGGTTTCAGGCATGCTGTGTTCAGATGCTGTGTTCAGATACAAGTCTACATGCTTGATATTTTGGCTTTTGTTAAACACAGGGTGGGGCAAAGGAGTTTTACAGCTGTATGAGAAGCTTCTTCTCGTACTTTTCCATACTGCAAACCTACTTTTGCCCCAGTATTTTAAAATCGGGGTAACGTGGCCAGCTTATAAGGCATGTGAGTTGTGATTTTTACATTTGTAATATGGGGTTTAAAAAAATGTGGTCTGTCCACCCGGACTAAAATATTTAGTGTGGCCCTTTAGTTGCTGTGGGCCCTTCCTTATTCGGTGAGGCCATGACTATCTTGGCACAGAAGCAGTCATTGAGGACATCTTCCTAAGGTGTCCCAACAGGGTCATTTGGGCTCTAACATGCCCATCCTCAAACTGGAAATGGGAAGTTTTTTCAATCAACGGGAATGCAAAGGTATTTCTTGGCATTGGTTTAAGGTGACATTTAAAATGTCACCTTAAACCAATCAAAAAATCCCCTTTTGGAGGAAGCCATTGTAGACCTGTAAGGCTTTATTCCCATGAAAATTATAACAAGTGCCTGAGCTTCTAGAGGCAGCAATCCCTACAATTAACTCCTTTAAGGAGAACTGAAAACAGAACAAGTGCCCCAAGACTTGTTCTTTGGTCACATTAAACAACGAAATGGCCAAAGACACATTGGGTGTGGAAGCACTATGTCAGTTGCATAATACAGGGCCCTGTAAGGGACTATAACTGCTCTTTGACCCAATTAAGAGGGACCACACAGGCTTTTGCCATAAATTTGAAGCCCAAAGTTCCTACAGGTTAAGGCGGTGTTTTAATTATGGCATGTTTTATAGATGGAAGCTCCAACACTGCTCACAAGAATGAAATGGAAGTCTGCTAAGATACAAATTCTTTTTCAGTTTTAGGCAGAAACTTTGAAATGTTCTTTTATACTAGATTGGAGCTGGAGTGAGCCTTCCAGGAATTGTTGCTGCAAAATGTGGCGCAGAGGTAACGCTGTCAGACAGTGCAGAGCTGCCTCACTGCCTAGAAATCTGTCAGCAGAGCTGCCAAATGAATGACCTGCCACAGGTGCGCGTTCTAGGCCTAACGTGGGGTCACCTATCTCTGGACCTTCTGGCTTTGCCACCCCAAGATATTATTCTTGCAGCTGATGTGTTCTTTGAACCAGAAGGTAACTTTTTTTCCTAATAGCCAATTTGGCCTGATACACAATGTAAGTAGAAAGTCTAGAATATTAATAAGCCCTTTCTTCCTAGACTTTGAAGACATTTTAACTACAGTCTACTTTCTGATGCAGAAGAACCCCAAGGTCCAATTGTGGTCTACTTACCAGGTAAGAAGGTAAGCCAAGCTAATCCTGGTTTATTCAACCTACTTTAAGTTAAAGCCTTACGATAACATGAAAAAACACCTGAAGCCAAACAGGAAAATAATTTTAGAAAGTTTATTTTTCAGTGCTGACTGGTCACTTGAAGCTTTGATCTACAAGTGGGATATGAAATGTGTCCACATTCCTCTGGTGTCTTTTGATGCAGACAAGGAAGATATAGCAGAATCTGCCCTTCCAGGAAGACATACTGTTGAAATGCTGGTTATCTCCTTTGCAAAGGACAGTCTGTGAGTTACACCTACAAGCTGTTTTGGGACAATGTCCATATTGATTAGCAACCTGGCATGCCCGTGAGGATCCAGACCACTTCAGCCTGAGAGTATAAGCAATGGTCAGATCTATTGGCCTTAAGACTGATGTGTCATCTAGACAGTACTTGTGGGACACATAGCCGTGGAAACAAAAATTAAAACATCTATTAAGGACTCAATTTGTTCTAAGTCATTAAAATAGGGCATCCATTAGGTCATGAGAAAGGAGCAGCCACAACCTCAGTGTGCGACCATAGAACATCAATTTTAGGGATTGTTGAACTGGCATAAAAAAAAAAAAAAAAAATCAGCTAAGCATTTCACTTTGATACTATACAGTAACATTCACAATGGCACAGGTCTTTCAAATAAAGGGAGGAAAAAAGACCAAGACATATTCTGAGAAAAGCTAACACCAAGAAGACATTTTTAATTAAACTATAGAAACAACGGTTATAGTACAGAATATTTATGAGCAAAAAAAAAAAGATACACCATGTTTTAAGTACTTACAAAAGTTACAAACCATTTGTTTCCTTAACATTTTTCATATTCCAAGTTCATACATGAAAGGTGATCATTATTACCATTTGGTGGAGTGAGGGGTAGAAAAAAAAAAAAAAAAGGTGTATTTATCATCAGCTAGATGTGCTCACTGTATGCTCCGTTATCTAATGCAAGGCCCGGGTGACTGGAAGTGCAGTTGTCAGGCATTTTAATAAACTGGACAGCCATTTGTTTCTGCACGACAAGGCATCTTTACACAGGAGCAATCGGGAGAAAACAGGAAACAGCCAAGCACTCTGCACTGCAACACGCCACCTTAACAGCTAACCAGCATTACTCAACTGCTACACAACTGCGCCTAGTGCACAAAAATACATAAGAGAAGAGATTAGAATTGTGTTTGGTAAACAATCCTTTCAAAAAAATCAAGTCTTTTCACCTGAAAAGTCTTTATACAAGTTTAGGTTCAGATTACCATTTAGATCTGAAGGTAAATAACATGCACAAATTTACACCAACTTTTGTAGGTTTTTAATTCTAAGGAATGAAGGCAATGCTGAGTCAATCTCTTGACAGCTTTAGGCTGTGCGTAATGGCTGCACGTTTCCTTAAAAGTCAGGAGGCCACAAATTAGGTTACCAATCTGTTTAATTTCAAACAAAAAAAGTCAGCACTATATAAACAAAAAGGAAGTTTTACCTCAAATATCCAAGCCAATAATGAAATCTGAAGTCGTTCACCTTACTAAATTACAAGAAATTTGAATAACAGCAACAAAATGGCACATAAAATGAAATTTGCCACCTGAGGCAAAGCTTAAAACAAGTAAAAAGTTAGACAAATGTTACAAAATAACCTTTTCAATAGCCAGTTGCTTGTTCCAAGGCAGGACTCTTTGATGGACTGAGCATGTAGTCCTTTTCCTCCAGGTTTTCGGTTATGTTGCTTGTCGACACATCTAGGTTTGAAAAGAAATTAAGTTCAGTTTACCTTCCACTACTGTGAAGTCCAAAGCGCACATGGTTTCAATTTCAGGCATGTACTCACTAAGGCTCTGGTGAAACAAGTAGGTTACAGAAAGGTTCCACCCAGCCATTCTCAGAAATTTTTTAAGGCCCAAATTAGTAAATTTTCACATTATTATTTATAAATTTGTGTGTTCTTGGCCAAATAACCAAGGTGAAAAATCGTTAAAGGGGAGGGGGGGAGAAAAGAAAAGGAGAAAAGGGGGGGCTGTATCCAAACAAAAATGAAATCAGAAAAGTAACCTATATTTTGAGATAAATTTAGTTTTCAAACAAAACATTTGGCAATGAGAATAAGGCTTTAATATCTGAGCTACTTAGGGCCCTTCCTTTTAAAAAATAGGACCAAACAATTGGAGAGTTAAAGACACACTATCCTTTCCCCACCCAGCGCAATACCTGTAAACTTTTTTTGAGTTCCAAAAGTTCATTGCTGCTTTTTGCAATTCGTTTGCCACATCCACTAGAATAGTGAGTCCCAGTCAGCACAACAAGAGTTGAGCTGATAGCTTTCTCTACGAGGATAGTGCATCTTTAACATTTAAAGACAAACCTGCTCCAATACACGCCCACAGAAACTGGTCCCTGGAGGATCAGCCAAATCAGTTAAAATCTGCAATACTGGCCAATATTCTTTTATCAAACAGGAGACCGCAGCTTTAAAGGGGAAAATGCAGACGTTGGATAAAAACAGCAAGAAATAGTCATTTTCATCAATAGGTCTCAAACAGTTTACGAAACAGCCACCATCATCTAAGCTCACACACATCCTTCCTGCAGACCCCTCATCCAGAGCACTCCCAGGCTGAGCGCAGAGCGGCTCCTAACCACGGCGGGAGGCGCCTTCCGGCGAGCGCGGACGGAACCCCGCTCACTCCCCCCAGCCGCCATGCGCCGCGGGCCCCGTGGGCATTACCGTTTGCTTAAGAGGACACGGCTCCCTCCTCCTCCGGAGACTTGGGGGGGCTCTTGGACCGCGACCTGGACTTGGACTCCCTCTTGGACACGGGCGGGGGACTCCTGGACCGCGACCTGGACCGGGACCGCGAGCGGGATCTGGACACGGACGACGACTTGGACTTGGATCTTCTCGCCGACCTGGACTTGGAGGTGGACCGCGACCTCGAGCGAGTGCGGGAGCGAGACTTGGAGCGGCTGTAGCGGGATCGGCTGCGGGACCGGGACCGGCTCCGGCTCCGGGATCGGCTGCGGCGGCGCCGCCTGGGGCTGAGGGCGGAAGCGAGAGGCGCGTCAGGCCCCGCGATCCGGCCGCGCCCCGCCCGCCCGCCATTATCTCGGCGCCGCCGCCATTTCCCGGCCGCGAGCCGGGGCCGCCCGCCACCACGTGCCCCCCGCACCTTTGTGAGTCAGCCCGGGCCCCTCCCCAATTACCTGCGGCTCCGGCGTCCGTAGCCACCACCCCCGTACCTGCGGGGTGGCGGTCCCCGGCGGCTGTGGTGCGAGTCCGGGGGACGGCCGTAGCGCGCCATCTGCACGCGCAGCTCGCGGCCGTCCAGCACGGCCCCGTCCATGGCGTCCATGGCGTCCTCGGCGTCGCGCTTGTCGTGGAAGCGGACGAAGGCGAAGCCGCGGGACTCCTTGGTGTAGCGGTCCCGCGGGATGTACACGTCGCCGACGCGCCCGTACTTCTCGAAGACGCGCCTCAGGGTGTCGGGCGAGGTGCGGTAGGTCAGGTTGTCCACCTTGAGGGAGGTCATGCCCTCCACATCGGGAGGCGGGCGGCCGTAACTCATGGCTCTGGAGCGTCGGCCAGGCCCTGCGACTGCGCGCCGAGAAACGAACGCCCTGGGCGGGCCCGCGCGTTCCGCAGGGGCGGCGGCGGCTTCCTCAGACTAGCTCAGCTCCACGCCGCGCCTCTCCTCCGGCAACGGGCTTCCGCGTGGAGACGTTTCTGAGAAGAGCCGACAGGCGGACCGAGCAGCCGCCTATGGAAGCACAGAAGCAACTGGGCGAGTATCCGGCCCCCGTGCCCATTTATATTCAGCCTCACAAAATGGCGCCCGCGCCACCCAGAAACGAGTCCTCTGATTGGCTGGCCCCGCAACGTCCCCGCCGCGTGCGCCGACCGTGCCCGGCGCGCCTGCGCAGAGCCCGGAAAAGCGCGGAGTCACTGCAGCCGGGAGGGGGGAGTGGCTTCGGCCGGCAGTTGGAAAGCCCGCGAAACGCTTCTTCCGGCGGGCGCTGCGGGGCAGGAGGAAGGGGAGGTGCTCCCGCCCTGGGCTCCGCCTCCCTTTCCGTGCCAGTACCGGAGTTCCACGCCGCTTTCCGGCTCACGCCTCAGCCCCGCCTCCGTCCGAGGGCCTCCTCCTCCCCCCATCTGCGTCCGGGTCCCCAGCCGCCCCGGACCCCGCTATGTGGTCCCAGGCCCCCTCCCGCCAGTCTCCGCCCTTCCGCTGGGCTCCGCTTTCCGGCCCGCCTTAGCCGGCGCCGCGGGCCCGGCCCGCTCCCCTCACGGGGGAAGGAGGTCTCGCGAGGCGCCGGCCAGTCCCGGGCGGCGCGGGACTACATTTCCCAGCTGGACGCGGCGCCGCGGCTGCGGTCAGGTGACCGGGCCGCCTGACCCGCACCGAGTCCAGACCCGGCGGGCGGGCGGGCGGGGCGGCGCGGCCTCTGCAGCTCGTCCTTGGCTCCTGATCCCCCTGGCGGCCCTCCCCCCGGCGGCGGCCTTCGCGCCGGGCTCCTCCTCCCCGCCGCCCCCTGGGGATGCGCTAACTGCCCGCGGGGAGCGCTTCGCCCCAAGCCGGATTCGGATGCGCGGACCGGAGGGCGACAGCCTGGCTCCTGGCTCCGGGCTCCGGGCTCCTGGCTCCGGGCGCCTCCGCTCGCCGCCTCTTCGCCCCGGGGTTGGCGGTTGGTGCGCCCCGAGGGGAGCTGACTGCCCGGGGCTGCGGGCCTCCGGCCGACGGGCGCCAACATGTCCCCGGAATCTAAAAAGCTCTTCAACATCATCATCTTGGGGGTCGCCTTTATGTTTATGTTCACCGCCTTCCAGACTTGTGGGAATGTGGCGGTGAGTTGGGGTCTGCTGTCCCGCGTCCCAGAAATGAGACTAAACTTTAATCGTATCTGAGAGCGCTCAAGTCGCGCCTTTTATTTTCCCAGCCTTCCTCCTTGTTTTTTAACGATTAGGGTTGATTTCACGTACCCAGCCTTTCTTTCTTGTGGACGTGTGGGGATGTGAAACGTGGCCGTGGGTTTCTCTGTGATGCTGGGCGTGTGTTGGCCTGTGTATCTTTCTGTCTGTATTAAAGTCTGCGTTAAACTTGGAGATTGAGGCAGTTTCCGCGCCCCTCCCCCACCGCGCGCCCTGACACGGGTTATCTTCTGTTCTGTGATCCTTTTTCTTCTCTCCTCACCTCCATCGCTAAGTACTGGGCACTCCGTTTTTACTCTATTCCCAGCGCTTGGAGACTCCAGGGGGGAGAGGGGTTGCAAAAACCTTTCATGTTTTTGATCGTTTTGTCTCCCACGCAGCAAACTGTCATCCGGAGCTTAAATAGCACGGACTTCCACGGCAGTGGGTACACCAGGTATGGCTCGGTACCTCGGTTTTACTTTACATATTCGGGGGGTGGGGGTGGCGGGGGGGAAGGTTGCTTAAATCCACATCGGAATCACGGGCGGTAAAATACAGGGCGTTCGTAGGGACTGCTGTTTCCTTCTCTGTATGTAGACTTTGGGGAGAACATCGTTGAATAAAGGCGATGAGTTTAGGTTTTGTGTTGAGTTAGACACCAGGTCTGAACTCCCGGCTTCAGAGCCAAATTGTTGCAAAGTCTTAGGCAAGCTGCCTCGCCGAACCGGGCTTCCTTACTCAGCGAGCCGGGCACAGGAGCTGGCATTTCCTAAGCCCTCAAGTATGGCATGTTACGTCTTCCCAGCCTTAACGCAGAGAACGTTTTATAGGATCTTGAAACACTTGGTCTTTCTGCTTTTGCAATTTCTGAGGGTTCCTAGGCTGTCATCAGGGTGCTGAGTCCCAGTTTGCACATGGCGAAGAGACCGGCGTGTAAGGCCTGGTACACTGTGCCTGGAGCCGGGAGCGTAACTGCACATGTACCCACGCGCAGACACGCTTCCTCGTTTCTCCATTCGTAGGAGATTGTGGGCAATACCAGTCTTGTGGGTCACCTCTCCCCACCCCCACCCCGTGTTACTTGGTTATCACCGATCCCAAGCCTGACCTTGTATGCGATATTTGAGAATAAAGGGATATTTATGCCCGTTTTTCTAAAGGATTCCCACGTTTTGTAGTGCTTTGTATACATACGTACTCTACGGAACAAGGGAAAGGACACTTGGTATTTGAGAGGTTCGTAAAAGCCAAAGAATAATCTACTTGTGAGTAGCAAGTAAATCCGGGACCTTTGGAATGGTTTTAGTCCCACTTTGTCCCAAGACATATACGTACCAGGTAAGGTGGGTCTACAGTAGCCGAGTACTGTTCAGTGAGCCCAGGAGGTTGAGCTGCGTGAACTCTGGCTTACCTCCTGTTATTTATAGCAGCAGAGGCGCCCGCACTTGCCAGGGCTTGTAGGCTGGGTGTGGAGAGCAGCCTGGTTGACTGGGGCCTCAGATGACCAGGGACGGGACCCGGGGTCCCCAGGTGCCCTGGTGGACGCCGGTCAGGGGACTTAGCCCTCCCAGGTTTCCGTTTCCGTTTCCTTCTCTGAGAGACGAGGAGGCTAACAATGCCTTCTTCTCAGAGCCGGGGGGCTTAAGAGCAAAAACACGTAGAAAGTGCTTGGCACGGTGCCTGCTCGCTGTGGTTATAATTTACCAGGACATCAGACACCATATCCACCAGGGCGCACTTCCTCAAAGGAACGTGGGGTGAGACTTCACTATTCCGTACACGTGAGAACTGGAATATGGCGTTGGGTTCAAGGATATCATTAGAAAGAAGAGGAATGTTCATTGCAAACGTCCAGAGACTAAGGAAACCCGAAGAGGGGATTCTCCCCCCCCCCCCCAATATATTATATTGATATTTTACAGAGAGGAGGAAGGGAGAGAGATAGCTAGAAATGTTGATGAGAGAGAAACATCGACCAGCTGCCTCTTGCACACCCCTACCAGGGATATGCCCGCAACCAATGTATATACCCTTGACCGGAATCGAACCCGGGACCTTTCAGTCTGCAGACCGACGCTCTATCCACTGAGCCACACCGGTTTCGGCTGAAGAGGGGACTCTTAAGACAGCCCCGCGCTGTTGTTCTTGTTCCGTGTGCAGCATGGCCATCATTTACGGCGTGTTCTCCGCCTCGAACCTGATCACACCCTCCGTGGTGGCCATCGTGGGCCCCCAGCTGTCCATGTTCGCCAGCGGCCTGTTCTACAGGTGAGGCAGTGCTTGTCCTTCTTTCCTTTTACTGGGAACACCTTCCGCATCTCTCAGCACAGAGCGAGCTTGTAACAGGAGCCTGCTCACTTTAGAAGAGACCCGTGGTCGGCAAACTGCGGCTCATGAGCCACAGGCGGCTCTTTGGCCCCTTGAGTGTGGCTCTTCCACAAAACACCACGGCCTGGGCGAGTCTGTGTTGAAGAAGTGGCGTTAGAAGAAGTTTAAGTTTAAAAAATGTGGCTCTCCAAAGAAATGTCAATCATTGTCCTGTTGGTATTTGGCTCCGTGCACTAGTGAGTTTGCCGACGGCTGGCCTAGACGAAGGCGATGCTTTAGGGGTCTGCTGTCTTCCTGTGCGCAGGATACCACATCGTTTGAATGAGATTGGTCATGCATATACTCGCTCTTGTTTTACTCTTAATAAGAACAATTCGCAAAAATCCCGTTCCACTAACTTGTATTTTATCGATTTTATTTTTTTTATTTTTTATTTTATTTTATTTTTTTATTTAATATATTTTATTGATTTTATACGGAGAGGAAAGGAGAGAGATAGAGAGCTAGAAACATCAATGAGAGAGTCATCGATCAGCAGCCTCTTGCACACCCCCTACTGGGGATTTGCCCGCAACCAAGGTACCTGCCCTTGACTGGAATCGAACCCGGGACCCTTCAGTCCCCAAGCCGACGCTCTATCCATTGAGCCAAACCGGTCTCGGCTATTTTATCGATTTTTAGAGAAGACGGGAGAGGGGGAGAGAGAGAGAAATATCCATGAAGAGAGAGAGTCATGGATCGGCTGTCCTCGGCATGCCCCCCACTGGGGATGGAGCCTGCAACCCTAGGCCTGTGCTCTGACGGGGACCGAACCGTGACCTCCCGGTTCCTAGGCCGATGCTCAGCCCCTGAGCCGTGCCGGCCGGCTCCAGGTTGCATCGGAGAGGGGTGAGCCCCCAGAACTGACCCCTAGAAGCCATGGAGGCGCCCTGGCGGTGTTTGATGTAATCGGTGGCCTGTTATGTTTTAGCATGTACATTGCCGTTTTTATCCAGCCTTTCACGTGGTCCTTCTACACGGCCTCTGTGTTCCTCGGCGTTGCAGCTGCTGGTGAGCACTGGGGGGTTGTCTTCCTGGTTTCCCGGGCTTCCCTCAGGGCAGCATCTGTGTGTAGAGGACGTAAAGCTGCGTGATCTCACCTTTCGGTTTGAATGTAGTGCTGTGGACGGCCCAGGGCAACTGCCTGACCATCAACTCGGATGAGCACACCATCGGGCGGAACAGCGGCATCTTCTGGGCGCTCTTACAGTCCAGGTAACCACCCTCCGGGGCTCAGCCTTCCTGCCATTGCTTGTCACATGGCTTTAGAACTTCATTGTGTCAAAAACACAGGTTTCCCCACGTGTGTGACTTACGTTCCTAGCCGCACACAGGTGAAAATATTTCATAGGATTACTTAAAGGGCACCAACTGATCTCAAATGCATTGGAAGGTTGGGTTAGTAAATAGAAACTGATGTTAACCCTAATATATTTAGCACTGGCGATCCTTCAGGAACTTTTGTGATCTTACTAGCTTTAATAATCCTCATGAGATAGCATACCGACGAGAAACAGGCTGAAAAGTTGAATCACTGGTCTGATTTAAACCATCCTTAACTGACTTCAAAGGCCAGGTCCTTCTGACCGAGCTGTCCTGGCAGGTAGCTATTAACAAATAGGCATTTAATCTCAAAAGGCAGATGGAGTGGTTTCTGGAGTTCCAATAAGCAGTCACATGCCTCACTGTGAGTCAGGACCTCCTGAAGGCGGTGCTGAGTCAGGTGCCGCCCGAGGGCGGAGGGGGGGCCCAGCTCTGACCGGGCCAGTTGGGTTTTTCAGAGTCAGGGTGGGGTGGACACTTCCCAATGACCTAGGGCAGGAAGATACTTGCAAAACTATGTACACTTTCTGCTTTCTCTTTTTAACAAGTACTGGGAACATGGCTTAACAAACTAGAAATATGAAAATAATTTCCCAACGTTCTTTCTTCCCTTTTTTATTTATTTTTTTTAACCCAGCTTGTTCTTTGGAAACCTCTACATATATTTTGCTTGGCAAGGGAAAACTCAGATATCAGGTTGGTTTCATTCATTTCGCCTTATTCAGATACGTGCGTGACATAATGGCGGTTTCACAAAACTACCCCCCGTTGCTTTGTGCAGAATGGTTCTGATGGACCCTGGCACCTTAAGGCCGCTCAGATTTTAGCTGTTCGTGGCTTTCCCCCGGGATTATATTATTAAGCTGATGACTGCAAACGGCATCCGCAGGTGTGGGAGGGGGTAATGCTGTAAATGAGCAGATGAGTCAGTTGTCAGATTTTGAAGTTCCTAATTGTTTTGTCTGTATGCTTCTTGGATTCAAAGGATAGGATTAAGTTCTTGTGCCTTTTTTTTTTTTTTGCTTTTTGCTTATTAGTATTTCTGTAACTGAAAAAGCAAAGGTGGAGATAGCCTATTTTACTGATGCAGTCAAGGACGAGTTGAACGAGGAAGGGTTTCGATGGTTATAAACAAGCTCAAGATACCTACTTTCTCCTCCCTCCTCCCTCCTCCCTCCTCCTCACTCCTCCCTCCTCCCAGAGAGTGACCGGAGAACCGTGTTCATCGCCCTGACGGTGATCAGCCTGCTGGGGACGGTTCTGTTCTTCCTCATCCGGAAGCCGGCCTCCGAGAACATCCTGGGGGAAGACGAGCTTTCCGATGACCAGGACCTGGAAGTCAGCGAGTAAGACCCGTGTGCCTCTCTGCTTGTGTGGATTTTGAGTAGCTCCAGTGAGGCTACCAGCCTTTTTAGAGCCCCGCTGACACCCGATGCCGGGCAGGCGGGAGGGGAAGGTTTTAAAGCAAGTGAAGGGCGGGGGGTGGGAGCTCTGCTCCACCAGTGCCTACAGGGCCGGGCTTATTTCCGAATTCTTGTACTGGACCTGGCCCGCGTTTTTATTGTTTGTCGGCCCACATTTTTAATCAGTAAATTCCACTGTGAACCCAGCTGGCGGGAAGTGGTGCTGTTGGAGCGTTTTGACGCCAAAGAACTTACTTGTGACACAGAGGAGTGGCGGGCGCTTGAGCTGGCGCACATGGTTTTCACGGGGTGCAAACAGCCGGGTGAGCTGTCCGGTCTGCAAAACCTGACCTTGAATGTGTTCAGCGCATCCGGCAGGAAAGAATTCAGTTCCTGGTCAATTCCATAAAGAGCCACTGGGTGGCGCTGAGCCAGCTGCTGGGCAAGGCCAGCCTCCTGGAGCAGGGAGCACAGGCGCTGGGCGTGCTGGCCACGGCGGGGACCTCAGGACCTTACAAGCCTCAGTGGAAGTGAGGAGTAGTTTTGTGCTCTTTTCCAGGTTCAGGAGATAAAACTTTTCTGTCCTTCCTTTTTCTTTCACCAGGTCTCCCCGGAACAACCTGACCAAGGCCGTGGATGCGTTCAGTAAGTGTTTCCTGTGGCTGAAGGAGGACTGACTGTTCAGGGCCACGTAGTACGTGCCTCTCCCTCTCCTGTGGTAACGGGGGTGACGGTCCCCCCGTGTTTTCTGTTTCTGGGTCTGCCGCTCTGAAGGCATGAGTCTTCTCCATAAACAATCTGGAACGGGATGTGAAAGATGGCGGTGGTCCCACAACCTCACCCGAGGTGTGAGGGAGGCGCGAGGGGGCGGCAGGGAACCCCGGCACTCGGGGTTTACAGGAGAAAGTGAGGACACAGGCCATCTCTCCAGCATCCGGCAACCCTTTAGTCCCAGGGCCGATGCTCTTAACCACTGAGCAACCGGCCGAGCCATCCCCTAAGCATTTTAGTCTGAAATGTGGATACCAAGCTCTGTCCCAGTGTGTTTGTTTACTGGCATTACTGACCACGCGGTGTTTTGGTGAACAAATGTTTTAGAATTTTTGTTTGATTCTTTGAAATTAAGTTCCAGATATTCTTTTGTTTTTACAGAAAAGTCTCTTAAATTGTGTGTCACCAAGGAGATGCTCCTCCTCAGCATCACAACGGCCTATACAGGTAGTTGCTCAGCAGGAAATAAGTGCCTTTTTCGGGTTTGCTTTCTGTTGCGGACTAATGACAACTACCACCATGTCATTCTTTCTCATGTTTCTGTGCACTGGGTTCAGCTGAGGGTGCTTGTGATGGTCCCAGTGGGGTCTCTGTTAGAGGGCAGCTCGGCTAGAACATTCCAGATGGTTTCATTTGCTTTCGGAAGGCGTCAGGTCCAGGTGTGCCTGGCCAGCTGCAGGCCCTCCCGTGACCCCTCCCCTCCCTGCGGGATGCCAGACTTCTTAGTGGCAGAAGGAGAAAGGACTGGACCCTAAAGCTAGCCTGCCACCTGCCAGGTCACCTCCCAGCACACAGGGCCAGCCCACATGCGTGTGGGCGGGTCTACACAGGCTTATATGGGGGACACGATCATCCCAGCCAGTGATTGTAGGGCAAAGTAGATGCTAGAAAATAACAGAGCAAACCTTTGTGACTTTGTATGGATTAAGGCCATTTTTTAAAATATGATTTTTACTGATTGAAGGGAGAGGGAAAGATCAAAAATGAGAATCATTGATCAGCTGCCTCCTGCACGCCCCCTACTGGAGATCAAACCCGCAACCCGGGCAGGTGCCCTGACCAGGAATCTGTGATCGGATTCATAGGTCAGCGCTCAACCTCTGAGCCACACACTGGGCATCCAGAGCATTTCTGAGAGAGAGGAGTGAGGCTGGTGGCTTAACTGCTGGTCACGTGATGTGATAATGGGTGGGGTGCTCTGGCGTCTTAACAATGACAGGAAACTTATTTCCTCTTAACTTATTTCCAATTGTTACTTTGCCCTTATCTGCCTCGTGGGTGTAAGCATCTTTGTTAGGAGAAAAAGAAATAGAAGCATCTTTCAAATTCAGTTATGGTTTGTGTCTTTGAGGAATCAGGTCTTTGGCTGATCCACCCTAGTTTTACCCTTTTCATAGTTTCCTGGGGAAAGGATTGAATTAAAACATTACTGTGCAGTAGTACCTGCTAGTTCCCTCGGGAAGCTATTACAGACGTACGTGAGCTCTGTCTGTGGGAGCCCCTTTCACGTCCCGCGTGGTTCAGGGTTCCGGTCTGGAGAAGGCCGCACACAAAGGAAGAGAGACTAGGAAAGTATTGATTTGGGAGATGGGGGGCCAGGCGCGAGCCCATCCCTAGGGGAGGACAACCCTTTGGCTCTGGCCTTGCTGTCCCTTTTATTGAGACTATGGGATACACCCATTACCCTTAGGCAGGTAATAAGTGGATTGTCATATCAATAAGAATTTACATGATTGTTTGGTGGAGAAGTTGCCTCAGTGTCTCCATTAGATAGGGAGTGGTTGGCTCTGACCTTCCAGAGCTTCAAGGTTGACCGGCCTTTTACATCTCTATTAGTGAGACTGGTGGGTTTCCAGCACCGACCTGCCCATCCCCGTCCCCTACACATGCGGCGACCATTCTGAACAGAGCACGTCTCTGCTCTGATTTGTATATTTTTATCTGAAATATGTGACATCTGCCATGGGGGGCCAATCCCATTTCATCAGTGACCAGCGTGAACACTCTGTCTAGGACAAGTTTTTGTTGCTTGTGTGTGTTTGGTGTGTTGCTGTGTGTGTTTGGTGGGTTGCTGTGTGTGTTTGGTGGGTTGCTGTGTGTGTTTGGTGTGTTGCTGTGTGTGTGGTGTGTTGCTGTGTGTGTTTGGTGTGTTGCTGTGTGTGGGTGTGCTTAGACTCTCCTAGGCACGGAGAGAGCTGGGGAGGGCAGGGTGAGGATCTCAAACCCGCTGTCCCGGAAGGTCTGGAGCTGACGTTCTTCTCCGGGGTGTACGGGACCTGCATCGGCGCCGTCAACAGGTTCGGCGCGGCGGAGAAGAGCCTCATCGGGCTGTCGGGCATCTTCATCGGCGTCGGCGAGATCCTGGGTGAGGCAGCCAAGCCGCTCTGCATGAGGCTGTCTCCGTGACAGCTGAAACGCCAAGTGTGCTTCACAACTCTCTGTGCTTGAGTTTCTGTTTCCCTGTTTATTTTTCCCCACATGGGCAGGTCTTTGTTGTTGTTTTTTTCATTATCACTGTTGTAAGATAAAAGTCATTTGCGGAATAATTCAGAGACAAACCATAAATGGGAAAACACAGGGTCTCTGAAGATGCTCAGGTGCAGTGTCCCGGAATCCCTGACTTTCTTGTTCTGTCTGACGCCAGCTGGGCTCCAAACACACACACACACACACACACACACACACCCGTTCTGACACTGCCTGCCCGTGAGCGTCACACTGCCCTAACCTCAGACTCAGGAGGAAGCCCTGGGTCCCCAGTCTGCCCGCACTTCAGTCTCACTGGGTTTCATTTTTCTTTTGTTTTCTTTTTTCCAGATCTGTATTTTGATTTATTAACCTGATCTCGGTTGTTCTGTCCTCGGTTTCTAGGCGGGAGCCTCTTTGGCCTCCTGAGCAAGAACAACCGCTTCGGACGGAACCCGGTTGTGCTGCTGGGCACGCTGGTGCACTTCGTGGCCTTCTACCTGATCTTCCTCAACATGCCTGCGGACGCCCCCATCGCCCCCCTCGAGGGCACCGACAGCAGCGCCTACATCCAGTCCAGGTGAGCAGCTTGCTTTCCTAGCAGCAGGGAGGGCGGAGGGACAGGTGGGCTCTGTAACGCGGGCAGGTGACCTGCTCTGGGGAGCCCGGGCTTTGTAATGCGATAGGGAGCCAGCAGGAGTTTAGGGGGAAATCATAGCGAACCCGGTTATTTCTCTAGTTGGTGCTGATCTTTTTCTTATCTATGAAGCAGCACCTGAGCTTCCGGTTTGAGTGTTTTACCTCTGCCTTTTTGAGCAGTGAAAGCGCTAGAAGTGAGGGCCTGGGGAAGAACAGCGAGGAGCAGAATGGCGTCCCGCTGGGCAGGGCGTTCCTCTCCCGACATCTGTGTCCAGCGCTCAGCCTCACGGCGGGCCTGCCAATCAGTGTGGCTTCCAGACACTCGGCACCCAGAGTTTGCTGGGCTGTGAGCATGCATAAGCTCTCCCTTTGCAAACGCCAGCATTTATTATTGTTTCACAGCGTTTATAACGTGGAAGGTAGAATGCTTTTGTGGAAGAGCTGCTTTCACACTGGACACAGCCCTCGCACATGTTGTCGATACTCATTCTACATCGATTTTCCTTTTGTTCAGCAAGGAAGTGGCCATCTTCTGCAGCTTCCTGCTGGGCCTCGGAGACAGCTGCTTCAACACGCAGCTGCTCAGCATGCTGGGCTTCCTGTACTCCGAGGACAGCGCGCCCGCCTTCGCCGTCTTCAAGTTTGTCCAGGTGACCGCCTGTCTTAGTGCTGCCGCCGTTTTCTTGTTAAATATATTCCTATTGATTTCAGAGAGGAAGGGAGCAGGGGAGAAATAGAAACGTCAATTATGAGAATCCTTGACCGGCTGCCTCCTGCACGCCCCCTACTGGGCGTCCTGCCGGAAACCCCTGGCCTGTGTCCTTGACTGTGACCGCCTGGCTCATAGGTCAGCGCTCAGCCTCTGAGGCCCGCCGGCTGGCTAGCTTTGTCTCCTGCAGTGCTTCTCTCGGGAGCAGTGGGGGCAGCCTCTACAGGGGGTTGTGGTTAGAATGAGGAAGCAATGCCGAGTGTGGCCCTCGGCCCCCCTTTGGAAGGAGCTTGTTCTGTCTGTGATCCAGGCCAGAGCTTCCTTGGTTACCTGGCTTTATTCGTGGCACAGACGGTCCTTGCTGTGATGCACATCATTGCTCCACTTTTTCCCAAATTGCTATTTTAAATAAGAGACTGTAGCGCTCTCGATGGTTAGCCGCCCTGGACGGGAGGTTCAGGTGCGTGTTTGAGCGGCTGACGCGTGGAGCCTGGGAGGGCTCTGCCAGTCGCAGGGCCGAGGGCCCGGGTGGGGGGCTGCGGGGGGGGGGGGGGCTGAGCTCGGGCACCGCGGCCTGTGTGACCGTCGTCTTTCCTCCCAGTCCATCTGTGCAGCCGTGGCGTTCTTCTACAGCAACTACCTTCTCCTCCACTGGCAGCTGCTGCTCATGGTGATCTTCGGCTTCTCCGGCGCCGTGTCCTTCTTCGCGGTGGAGTGGGAAGCCGCCGCCATCGTCGCCCGGGGCTCTGATTACGGGAGCATCTGACCCGGGAGGCCGAGGGAGGAAGAGGCCGACCGAGCGAGGAGGGAGGCCGAGGGAGGAGGAGGCCGAGCGAGGAGGGAGGCCGAGCGAGGAGGGAGGCCGAGCCTCCACAGCAGCCGCACGGCCCCGAAGGACAGCGCGTGGAAGGGCCACGTCCCCCCGCGGGGCGGGCTCAGTGTGGGAGGAGGACGAGCCTGCAGGCCCGCGGCGCCGAGGCCGAGTTCACAGACGGCCGCTCTAAAGCGAGCGGGATGGGAAGCTGGTTCTGTCCGTCAGAATCGTTGAAAGATGTTGTTTTTCAGCCCGTCTATCGCGAGTTCTTTAATCATGTTACCGAATGTGATGCTCCCTCTCCCTCCGGTTTCCTGGAAAGAGCTCGCCTTTTATTTAAATTCTTCCTTGTTTAAAGCATTGCCCTCCTGAGTCATGTCTAAGGTAGCGGCAGCACTTTACATCGATGTCTTTCTCCCCTTCCCTTCCTCTCTCTCAAAGTCAGTTTCAACAACTTAAAACGGAGCAGCTGTAGTAGAGATCCTTTCCGGCTGCCTCGGGGGGGTCTCCTAAAGTGCTTCTCTGCCCTTTTCGTGGGAAGGTGACAGGCGAGGGGCCTCAGGCCCCAGGGTGGATCCCCTGGGTGGGGAGCAAGGAACCCCGTATGTATCCATGGGATTGATGGGATCACGGGGCCATTAAATACTCCCTGTGGCTGCAGTCGGGCCTGTCGTCACCGGCTCCCCAGCCCCTGACCGCTGCGGCTGCTTTCCTCACTGGCAGGTAAACGCAGCCATTCCCGAGCCAAACCCACAGTGACCTGGGCAGCTGTGGGCGTCAGCTCTGGTTCCTTGTGCATGGGTATTGGGGTGAAGAGTGGAGGGGCCCTAGCCAGTGTGGCTCAGTGGATAGAGTCTTGGCCTGCAGCCTGAAGGGCACATGCCCAGTTGTGAGTCCAATTCCCAGTGGAGGGGTGGGGAGGTGCAGGAGGCAACCTATCGATGATTCTCTATCATCATTGTAGTTTCTCCCCCTCTCCCTTCCTCTCTGAAATAAGTATATGTATTTTTTTAAAAGGAGGGAGAGAGAGGGGAAGGCTCACACCCACAGGACAAGGTGAGCAAGGAGGGGCTCCCACTCACACAGCAGCTGGACCCTCTAACGGCACTGCCGCACCCACTGCCACCCGGGGAGACACCGTCACTCAGTGGAGAGCAAGTGGCAAAACCAGCGGCCTCGGGCGGGTGGCGGGCGCCCTCCGGTTCCGGGTTCCGGGGCAGAGGCTCTCCTGGCGGAGGACCGACTTCCAGGAGCCTGTTCAGGTGCACTGCCCCGCCTCCCGAGAGCACAGAGGGGTTGGCACCCCGTCTGAGACTCAGAACTGGGTGCTGAGACACAGGGGAAGGGGGTTGCTCCGCCAGCTCGGAACAGCCTCCTCCCCACGCACATGCCCAGGTGCTCACTCAGCTGTTTTATTTTTTTTATTTTATTGATTTTTTTACAGAGCGGAAGGGAGAGGGATAGAGAGCTAGAAACATCGATGAGAAACACTGACCAGCTGCCTCCTGCACACCCCCCACTGGGGATGTACCCGCAACCAAGGCACATGCCCTTGACCGGACTTGAACCTGGGGCCTTTCAGTCCGTAGGCTGACGCTCTATCCACTGAGCCACACCGGTTTCGGCCCAGCTGCTTTGTCAGGTAGGATTTTAGGAGTCACATGGAGAGCCCGCGGCATCTTCCCTTGGACCTGGCCCGGGAGAAGCGGGAGCGGCTCCCTGCGGTGAGGTCTGGCGGAGGGGCTGGTGGGCTGTGGGGTCTGCTGCTGCCAGAGAGGGCGACTCGGGAGCGTCCAGGGGGGAGTCCGTGGTGTCCATGGTGGGCGTTGGCCGAGTACTTCCAGACGGAGCCCGGGGCGGGCCCGTCGGCCACAGGCCCCTCAGCTGCCGGCTTGGTCTCATCCCTCCTTCCAGGTCACGCTCTGCTGCACGGGTCTTACTGTTTTTACCGCTCGCCTCTCCCTGTTATTGAAGCTGCCAGGTGTCCGCAGTAAAGCCAATTTAAACCCAGCGGAGCCTGCAAACAGGACCACTTACACTTGGAAATGGGAAAGGATGAGCTGCCGAGAGAGGCGTGGGGGGGCTGGCTGGTGCTGCTGCATGGATTAGAGCATGCCCCCTTCCGTCCGTGTGTCTCCCCCCCCCCCCCCCGTGTCCACTCTCCCTGAAAAGCAATGGGAAAAATATCCCCAGGTGAGGCTTACACACACACACACAGAAAAGTGGGAGGTCCCGCAGAATACCCATCAGCCTCCAGGTGTGTTCTTTCAGGGTCACGGGCTCCTCGGCCACGGCGCTGGGCCTGGCCGAGCCGCCTGGTCCCGCCGAGGCCTCCGTGCTACCTGCAGGGGGCTGACCGCCTGGAGCCCTCAGACCCCACCCCCCACCCCGCAATCACTGAGCAGCAGCGTGTCCCTGTGGCAGAGCACAGCCCCCCAATTACCCCGCCTGCCATCAGCTCCCCTAATTATAGAATCATAGCCGAGGCCCGCAGGCCTCCCCAATCAGCTCAGTGCACACACACTCCCCCCAACTCGCTTCCAACTCGCTCTCTACTGTTGGGGTGAGGTTTTCTTTAAAAAAAAATATTTATTTTTTAACTGATGGATGAGAGGGAGAGATCAGTTTGCTGTTCCACTTATTTATGAGTTTCTTGATTTTTTAATCCTCACCCAAGGATATTTTCTCATCAATCTTTAGAGAGAGTGGAAGGGAGGGAGGAGAGGGAGAAACATCGATGTGAGAGAGACACACAGACTGGTTGTTTCCCGTGTGCCCTGATGGGTTGGAGATGGTATCTGCAACCAAGGTGTGTGATTTTTTTTTTTAATGTAATTTTATTGATTTTAGAGAGTAACATCAATGATAAGAATCTCTGATCGGCCGAAACCGGTTTGGCTCCATGGATAGAGCGTCGGTTTGGGGACTGAAAGGTCCCAGGTTCGATTCCGGTCAAGGGCATGTACCTTGGTTGCGGGCATATCCCCAGTTAGGGGATGTGCAAGAGGCAGCTGATCAATGACTCTCTCACTGATGTTTCTAACTCTATCTCTCTCCCTTCCTCTCTGTACAAAATCAATAAAATATATTTTTTTAAAAATCTCTGATTGGCTGCTCCTGCATTTCCTCCCCCCCCCCCCCCCCCCCCCCCCCCCGCACGCTGGGGATCCAGCCTGCAACCCAGGCCTGTGCCCTGACCAGGAATCGAACCGTGGCCTCCTGGTTCATGAGTGGATGTTCAACCATCGAGCCACACTGGCCGGGCTGTGGGTTCAACTTGAGTCTCTACACAGAAGGGATGTGTCTTCCTCTGCCTGGCCGGCCTCACGTGGCAGAATGCCTGCCGGTCCATCCGGCCGAGGAGTGGGGCCAGGATCCTCCAGGCTTCCCGCCGGGTTCCTGGACAGCGACACAGAGGGCCTGCTGCCCAGGAAGTGGGGGAGCCGGGAGCGGGGTGCAGTTCCAGGAGGTGGGCGAGACGGTGGGGGTGGGGTCCTCTAGGAGAATTTGTGCAGAGATGACACGTCCCCAGAGACGTCCCCTTTCCCTCGGCAGCACCCTGCCAAGCCGCCTCTTCGGCTGATATTCCCGACCGAGACCCACTTCATCATCCTCTAAAAACTGATTTAAAGAGAGAGCCCTCCGCCCAGCGCTGCTGACGCCTGGGCTGACAGATGGCTGTATGAGCAGCTTCAATTGTGTGTTTATCAAATTAGACCAGCAGCCAGGCCACTTCATTAAGATTCCTTCTCATCAGCCTGAGGAGAGGAGCTGGGGAGAGAGGGCCGGTGACTGCCTTCTATGGGGGAAAAAATTTTTTTTTTAAATCTTTATTGAAAGTATTGCATACATCCCCCTTTTGCCACACTGACCCCTTCTGGCCTGCACCCACCCTAGGGGGGGAGTTTTTGTTTTGTTTTTTCATTAAAATATATGTGTACATACCTTGCCGATCCCCACCCTGGGGGGGGGGGTATTTTTTTTTAATGTATTTTTATTGACTTCAGAGAGGAAAGGAAAGGGAGAAACATCAGTGGTGAGAGAGAATCATTGATTGGCTGCCTCCTGCGCACCCCACACTGGGGATCAAGCCCACAACCTGGGCCTGTGCCCTGACTGGGAATCGAACCAAGACCTGGTTCATAGGTGGATGATCAACCACTGAGCCACACCAGCCGGGCTACGGGGGAAAGCTTTAAGTGCCCGAAATAACACGCTAGAGGCCCTGAAGGGGCACAGCGGGTCACAGGCTGGAATAAGGGGCATCTTCACGCTGGGAACCCTGGGGCCGGGCCCTGTCCTGTGCCCCTTAAGTCTCTCCTTTAAGCCGCTGCCGATCAGCAAAGCAGCACTTACTCAGCGCCTGGCTCACGGGTGCCCTTGGTGCTGCCTGTGCAAATCCGTGAGGGCACAGGGCCACGGGGGAGGGGGTGGGGGGAGAGGAGACCCTCCCGAGGCAGGGTCTTGCTCAAACCTGCTCTCCCCTATACGGACAAGCACCCATGGGCAAGTGTCCTCACTGTTGAGACAGAATTCAGATCAAGTTTGCCCCTTTCAAGTGTACAATCCAGCGGCGTGTTTTTGTTGTTGTTTTAATATTTTTTATTGATTTCAGAGAGGAAGGGAGAGAGAGAGAGAGAGAATCGTTGATTGATTGGCTGCCTCCTGCTCACCCCCCTACTGGGAGAGATCAAGGCCACAATGGAACCTGGGACCCTTCAGTCCGCAGGCCGAGGCTCTAGCCACTGAGCCAAACCGGCTGGGGCCAATCCAGGTTTTTAGAATCGTCATAAGATTGTGCAAACATCCCCGTTATCCCATCCTGGACATTTTCATCAGCCCGGAAAAAGCCGGTCCCCAGAGCAGCCGCCCCCCCTGGCGGCTGCCAGTCCACTTCCTGTCCGCATGGAACTGCCCACACTGACATTTCTTAGAAATGGGGTCAGCCGGCCAGCGGGGCTGTGATTGAGCATCAACTTGTGAACCAGGAAGTCACGGTTCGATTCCTGGACAAGGGCACAGGCCCGGGCTGTGGGCTTGATCCCAGGGGGGGATGTGCAGGAGGCAGCTGATCCATGATTCTCATCATTGATGCTCTTATTGCTTTCAGAGAGGAAGGGAGGGGAGTGAGATAGAAACATCAATGATGAGAGTCATGGATCGGCTGCCTCTTGCACGCCCCACACTGGGGATGGAGCCCACAACAATCCAGGCAAGTGCCCTGAAAGGGAATTGAACCACGAGGTCGATGCTCAACCACTGAGCCAGGCCAGCCGGACTCACCTTCTGAATTCTGGCTTCCGACAGAGAGAAGGCCACCTCTCAGACGACCCCCCTGCAGATGGCTCTCCTTTGGGGGAGACCTGTCTTCTCCCCTCTCCTTTGGCCTAAAATGCCAGCCACCAGGTGTACACCCGCCCCTGAGCGTTCATGAGGGACCCACACAACTGGAAGGGCCGTGTCAGCCCCCGGGTGGAGTGCTTGGCCGGGACCCCGGGGGTGGGCCGGCTGCGGGGTGCGGCTGATGAGGATGCCCAGGCGTGAGGTCTGATTCCGAGCCCCGCGGGACCCTGCCTCCGGCCCGGCAGCCAGCCCGCCGCCACGCTCACTGCTCCCGCCACCCGGGAGGCCGGTCCGCGTGTCCTTGTCCGGCAAACCTGTCACCTCCTGGAGCGGCTGTTAGCCCGCCAACAGCCGTTCACCATCCGTCTTCGCGTTCCCCGAGAGCGAGGCCGTGAGGTCACGGACCAGGGCCTGTGGGTTTTGATGGAGAATTAGCCGGGAAAGCGGGAGCATGAGTCGCCGATGGAGCAAAACGGCTCAGGAGTGGGCTGGCGGGGGTTAGGGGGCAGCTCAGGGGCTGGGGTGGGGCCTGGTTGGGGTGGGAGGGGGGACCAGGGCCCAGTGGACTGGAGTAAAGGCTTCCTCCCCCCCCTAAGCTAGGCTGTAGGGTCCCTTCTGGGCTGGAGGGGCCCTCAGGGTCATCCCAGGCCGGGGCTCCTCCCAGCCTGGGGCTTCCCGGTCTCCACGCGGAGGGGGCGTGGGAGAAGGGCACGCAGGCCTTTATGGAGATGGAGGCGCCTCGCGCATCTCCAGTCTCTCCCATTTCACAGCGGAGGCGCCGAGGCCTGGGACCAGACACCCAGCCATGGTCCCCCAAGGGTCTGAGGTTAGAACTTGGGCCCACCCAGCCCCCCGCTTCCGAAAGAGCCTGTGGTCACACGCGCATTTGGACTTGGGTCAGAAAGCCAAGGGGAGCTGTCTGACCGGAGAGGGCCAGAGGATGGGCACAATCAGAGGGTGCACAGGGCGGTGCAGAGAGGATAGAGGAGAATCATGGACCGCTGCCTCCTGCACGCCCCCAACTGAGGATGGAGCCCACACCCTAGGCAGGTACGCGTGGCCGGGATCGAACCCGGGACCCTTCAGTCCGCAGGCTTGTGACAACCTGGGCCCCGGGGAGGTAGAGGCCGAGCTGGAGGGAGGCCCTGCACCGGCCGAGAGGGCGTCCCTTCCCGCGCTGCCTCCTCTGTGCCGCAGCCCGGGTCCTGGGGCCGGAGCCCCAGCGCTGGCGGCCGCACGGTGACCCGGGCCGGTCCCCTCGCCCCGCCCAGGCCCGGGGCGCGCTGCCGGGCCTCGGCCACCAGGTGGCGCCGCCGCGCCGCGCGGCCGCGGTCCCAGCCGCCGCCGAGGACAATGCGGCGCCTCCCCGCGTAGAGCGGCCGGGCGGCGGGCACCGGGCGGCGGGCACCGGGCGGCGGGCACCGGGCGGCGGGCACCGGGCGGCGGGCGGACACCGGGCGGCGGCGAGAGCCATGGGCGCGCGGCGGCGCGGGGCCGGGGCGCGGGCCGGGCGCCGCCTGTAGCCGCACGGGCGCGGGGCCGGGCGCGGCCCGGGATGCGGAGCCGCCTGCGCGCGCCGTCCCGCCCCGCGAGCGAGCCCGGGCGGGCACCCGCGCGGCCGGCCGGGGGGCGCGCCGCCTGCCGGGCCCCAAAATGTGAGCGCAGAGCGGCGCCCCGAGCGCGGGCCGCGCCTCCCTCCGCCGCCGCCGCCCCCTCGCAGGACGCGGCCTCGGGTTCGCGGCCCGGACGCGGCGGGTCGGGCCGGGCGGCGTGAACGATGATCACGGTGCACCCCGAGGGGAAGATCATGGTCAGGAGGTGCCTGGTCACCCTGAGACCCTTTCGGTAAAGTTCCCGGGGCCGGGGTCGGGGGGGGGGGCCGGGGCCGGGGTGCCCGGGGCCGGGGTCGGGGGCCCGGGGCCGGGGTCGGGGTGCCCGGGATCGGGGGGCCCGGGGTCGGAGGTCGGGGGGTCGGGGTGCCCGCGGCGGGTGCCCGGGTCGGAGTGCCCGGGGCGGGGGCCCAGGATCGGGGGTCGGGGGGGGTCGGGGTGCCCGGGGGCGGGGGCGGGGGTCAGCCCGCCGGGGTGCGGGCCGGTGACGGGGCGGCCTGTCGTCCAGCCCGCAGGCGGCGGTGGCCCGGGTTCGGCTCCCGCGGGGCGGGGGGTGCAGGGCTGAGCCGTGTCTAGCGGGTCGGTCTGCATCGGCTCCGGTGCGAAGGCGGGGTGGCCCCGGTCCGGGCTGTGGTCCGGGCTCCTCCCTCCCCTCCGGGCCCTGCCCCGCGGCGCCCGCCTTGGCTCCAAGTTCTGGGCCCGCACCATCCGCCCGGAGCCCTGGCCGGGCTCCCCTCCTCCTGGCCCCCCTCCCCTCTCGGAGCGGGGTGCGCCGGCTCCAGCAGGCGCCCTGAGGTTGGGGCAGGGACCCTCTAATGGGGATCCGCCCCCAATGCGGGCAGAGGAGAGGGGTCAGGGGGCCTCACCCCGGCCTTGGCGCTGGTGAGGGTTCAGGAGCCTGTGGCTTCCCCGGTCTCCCCCCAATCCCTTGAGGTCCCCTGATGAGCAGACCTTGCTTCCTGGGGCTCCCGCCTCTCCTGCGGGACAGCCCTGTGGAAGGCAGGAGCCGTGGGCACCCCCACTGTCTGGGGGTGCAGGGGGACCGTGAGGCTGGGGGACTGGAGGGCAGGCCCTGAGCGGGCGAAGGGAAGGGGCGCCTCGGGAGGGGGTCTTGCTCCAGCTGACCGGGCTATTGGGGGGTCCTTACCCTCTCTCACCCCCCACCCCCACCCCGACCAGGCTGCAGGAGCCCAGCCGCTGACCTAGCTTGATGAGCTGGCAAAGCTGAAAGGGGACCCCCCCCCCCCAGGCCAGGCTGAGGAACCCCATCTCCCCGCTGCATCCCTGGGGTCCTGCCCTGGTTCCTTCAAGCTCAGGGGGTGCACAGGCTTCCGTCCCCCCAGGATGTGTGCCTGCACCTCAGGGTCTCCCTGGGCCAGAGCAGCCTCCGTGGGTCTGTGTGTCCCTTCCGACGGGGGCAGGGGCAGCCTCCAGGGCGGGCGGCCCTGGCCTCGGGCCTGGGGTCTGGCAGGAGAGACGCAGGTGAGGTGTGGGGCATTCCGGGCTGAAGGCTAGATGCCTGCTCCTGGCAGGTCTGTGGGCCTGGCAGCTCAGGACCCCAGCTCCCGGGCAGCCCGTGGCTGGGGAGGGGCGGGGCGTGAGGGACGGGGGCGGGAGGGTCCAGTCTTGCCCTCAGACTGGGAGGACCTTCCTGGGTGTGCGGCCACCTCTCTCGCACAGCCCCTCTGGCTGCTGGGGGACCTCAGGGCCCGGCCCCAGCGGGATCTGCAGGGTGGACAGTGGGAGCGGGTCCCTGTGCCCTCTCGCTGTCCACCCTGTTGTCTGGGGGGGTGATCCAGGCCCCTCTCGGCATCCGGTGCTGCCCCTTTTCCCCCTCAGTCTGGAGCAGCTTCCTGTCGGCACGGTGGGGACTGTTCTCTTTGGCAGTGATGTGTTTCTTTAAGGGACCGGGTTTTAATTAAACGCTGCTCTGCCCGCTCCCAGCAATGAGGATGGAGATGCAGAGCCCGTCCGCCCGGGAGACACACCCGGGGGCTTGCGGCTGGGGGTGCGGTGAGAGGGCGGGAGGCCTTGGGGGTGATGGGTGCTCCCCATGGTGGGCATGGCTCCACGTGAGATGGGGTTCCTTCGCCTGATCTGGGGGGCGGGGGGAGGGATCCCCTTTCAGCTCTGTTAGTTCATCCAGTTCTTGGACCGATTTGAAGTCTCAGCGCAGCCCTGTCAGCGTGGCCGGTGCAGGAGGTCACGGCCGATTCCCGGTTCCATACCCGGGTCCCACGGGGGGCGTGCAGGAGGCCGCCGATCAATGACTCATCACTGATGTTTCTCTCTCTCTTCTCCCTTCCTCTCTGAAACCAATAAAAAAAATATTTAAAAAAAAGATAAAATCTCAGAACAGCTGCCGCCTCTGGCCCCCCAGGCCTGTGCTGGGAGCCGGGTTCTGTTTGGGCCCGGGATCTGGAACGGAAGCTGCAGGGGCCGGGGCTGGGACCCGAGGGTGGCTCCCCACTGATCCTGGCCTAACGCCTGTGCCCGCCTGGCACCCACAGACTGGTGCTGGCCCACGCTGACGGGCCCGGCACGGCCGACAGCAGCCGGGGGCTGCCGGTGACCATGCGGGAGGGGAGAGTCAGCACAGGGGGCGCCACACGGCCCTGCCCTTCACCCGGTCGTGAGGGGGGCACACCGCGCCTGGAGCGGATGAGGAGGTGGCCGCACACCCAGGACGGACGCTGCCCCAGTCCCGCCCCTGCCCCCCCGAGTGTCCGACCGGTGACCCCGGGGGCAGCTCAGGCACTTAGCCTCCGCCTCTCCTCGCCGATGCCGTGGTGGGGACCGGGCTCGGCTCCGGCCCCGTGTGCATCCCTGCCTCACGGCCAGGGCAGCCCCGCGGCTCCTCACGCGGAGCTGTGTCTCCTGTGCCGACGGAGGCCCGGCCGAGCTGGGCCCTGCCCGTCCCCTCTGCCGGCCGCCACCCCGTTTCTCCAGCCCGGGGGGCGGGGGCGGCCTCGCTGACGCCGTTCTCCTGCAGGCTCTTCGTCCTGGGCATCGGCTTCTTCTCGCTCTGCTTCCTGATGGCGTCGCTGGGGGGCCAGCTCTCCGCCCGGCGCCCGGGGGACTCGCCCTTCACCATCCGCACGGAAGGTAGCGCCGGGGAAGGCGTGGGAGTCGGGGTGCGTGTGTGGGGGCGGACGGGGGCTCCCCGGGCCCTGTTCCTGCCTCCTGCCTCCTTGCGAGTGGTCGTGTGCGGAAGAGGGGCCTCGGCTGGGGCTGTGGGACCCTGTGCCCATGGACCCGGTCCCGGCTGAGGTCACCCGCCACCCCCCCCCCGGTCTCTCAGCCAGGGGGTCTCTGAGCCCGTCGCCCAGTCGCCCGGGAGGAAAGCTGCCTGTGCTGCTTCGTTACTGGGAGGGGAGGGGGAGGGGAGGGATGTGCCTCCCACGTCTGAGGTCCACGCTCTGTGCCTGTGGCCCAGGCTGTGCCACGGCCGGGGGCAGGGCAGGCCCGTCGGGGCTCACTGCCCTCCTCTGAGCTCCCGGGCACAGTCAGGGTCCCGCGGCCCTTTGCCCCCGTGCTGCTTGCAGGGCAGTGGGCGGAGGCTCAGCGTGGGCCTTGGGGTGGGGGACCCGGCTCGGACCCCGCTCCCGGTCGGCCAGCGGTGTGCCGCCGGAGAAGGAGACAATGGCCGTGTCCGGGCGGGTGGGGGGTCACCGTGGTGCGATGGGTGGGGCCCGGCGGGCTCCTCCTCGGCGAGCTGTCCCTTTCTCCAGCCAGGGAACAGAGCCAGTGGGGAAACTGAGGCAAGTGGGCTTTCCCTGTCCCTCCGGGACGGCTCTCTTATAAGAACATCCTCCTAACCCCCTCGCCCCCCCTCCAGCTCGGCTGACTGCCCCCTGTCCTGTCACCGAGGGGGTGCTCTGTGCCCCGTCACACTCACCCGGCTTTCACATCCCCACTCTGATCCCGCCGAGGCCCAGGGGTGTCACTGTATTAGCCGTCCACACCGCCGGTGGACAGTTGATCCCGCCTCTGGCTCACAGAGACTGTGCCCCCCCCACCCCGCCTTCTTTCCCTCCCCCATGGGGGTGACACATCCTCTCCCGGGACTGAGCGAGGGGCGTTCAGAGCCAGGCCGAGGGGCCCAGCCCCGGCTCCAGCCCCGGCACCAGCCCAGCACCAGCCCCAGCCCCAGCCCCAGCCCCAGCCCCAGCCCAGCCCTAGCCCAGCCCCAGCCCCAGCACCAGCCCAGCACCAGCCCCAGCCCCAGCCCCAGCCCCAGCCCCGCCCCAGCCCCGCCCCAGCCCCAGCACCAGCCCAGCACCAGCCCCGCCCCAGCCCCAGCACCAGCCCAGCACCAGCACCAGCCCCAGCCCCGGCCCCAGCACCAGCCCAGCACCAGCACCAGCCCCAGCCCCGGCCCCAGCACCATCCCCAGCCCCAGCCCCAGCCCCAGCCCAGCCCCGGCCCCAGCTCTGGCACCAGCCCTGGCACATGCCGGTGGAGCTGAGTGTGAGGTGGGACGTTCAGACGAGGGACAAGGAGGAGCCGGGGTTTCTGTGCCGGAGATGCCAGGATTGTGGCCGGAGGGCAGCTCGCAGCCCCTCCGGTGCCTCTGAGCTGCGGGCAGCGAGGGGAGCACGGGTCCTGGGCCCCAGATGGACACAGGCCTGGGAACGTGCGGTTCGGGTGCGGGTGCATGAAGCCGGGTCCACAGTTCGTCCGGCTGGGCGCCGGGCCTGGGAGGTACCTGCCCCTCTCCTGGCCTTCTCTGCCCCCGGGCGGAGGGCACAGCGAAGCTGGTCCTGCTGAGGCCCAGAGAGGCCCAGGGTTTCCCAGGGCCACACAGCAGGGGCTCCGCCCCCCGGCTCCCTCCCCTGACCCTCCTCCTCCCGGGAGTCAGGGGTGGGGCTGGGTCTGAGCACCGAGGCCTGGACGCCAGGCCCCCCTCTGACTGCCGCCCTCTGCCCGCAGTGCCGGGGGCGCTGGAGTCCCGGGGCGCCCTCCGCAGGATGAGCGAGCTGCTGGAGCTGGTGGCGAGGCGGGTGGACGCGCTGGCCAGGCTGGAGAACGGCAGCGAGCTGCACCGCGGGCGCGGGCCCCCGGCGCCGGACTGGTGAGGGCACGGCAGGGGGGGCGGGGGGTGGCCTCAAAACGCTCCCCTGGAGCTCAGCGGGGTGGGGGCCCCGGCACCCCCCTTTTTATCCTGGAGACACTAAGAACACAGGGGACCCCGGGCCCCTTTCTGCGCCCCCAGATTCGAGCGTTCACGTTGGGGCCCGTCCTTCCTCCTTTTTAAGAAAACATCCCGGTGGGAGCGGAAGGACCTTTAGCTGCTTCCCCCAGAGACGAGTGCTTTGCTGGACTCGGAGCCAGGCTTCCAGAGCCTTCTAAGTGCTCTGTCCTGAGTCTCGCACACCCAGCTCTCCGGCACAGGGCGCGGGGTGGGCACAGGGTGCAGGGTGGGCACAGGGCGTGGGTGGGCACGAGGCAAGGGGCAGGCACGGGGCGTGGGGCGGGCACAGGGCGTGGGGCGGGCACAGGGCGCGGGGCGGGTACAGGGCGTGGGGTGGGCACAGGGCGTGGGTGGGCACGAGGCAAGGGGCAGGCACGGGGCGTGGGGCGGGCACAGGGCGTGGGGCGGGCACAGGGCGCGGGGCGGGTACAGGGCGTGGGGTGGGCACAGGGCATGGGTGGGCACGAGGCAAGGGGCAGGCACGGGGCGTGGGGCGGGCACAGGGCGTGGGGCGGGCACAGGGCGTGGGGCAGGCACAGGGCGCGGGGCGGGCACAGGGCGCGGGGCGGGTACAGGGCGTGGGGTGGGCACAGGGCGCGGGGTCTCGGCTCCCCCTGGCAGCGTTCTGCCCCTGCTTTCCCTCAGCGTGGCAGTTTGGAGCTCTGTCCACTTTTTTCTTTTGTTAAGTCTTGTTTTATCGATCTCAGAGGGAAAGGATGAGGGGGTGGACATTAACACTGGGAGGCCTGCCCGCCCCCCGGGGTGCGGCTGAGGGGCAGCGCCGGGCCCGCCACCCGGGCGGCGGGCGGCCGGCCTCTCCTCCCCAGTCCTGGCGATGGAGGCTCCGGCCTCTCCTCCCCGGTCCCGGCAATGGAGGCCCCGGCCTCTCCTCCCCGGTCCGGGTGGCCCCGGTCTCTCCTCTCCTCCCCGGTCCGGGCGGCCCCGGCCTCTCCTCCCCGGTCCCGGCGGCGGGCGGCCCGGCCTCTCCTCTCCTCCCCGGTCCGGGCGGCGGCTGCCGTGAGCTCTGCCTGGAGAGGCACCCGCACCTCCGTGTGCTTTGGGTGAGCAGCCCTCAGCCGGGGTGATTTGCTGAAAGTGTTTTCCTGCTGAAAACGGTTTGAAATCCACACTTTGAGGCAATTTGCAGCGAAGCCTCTCGGCCAGTGTGGTGAGGTAAAGCCAGAGAGCCGGCTTCTCCGAGGGGGAGCGGGGGAGGGGGAGGAGAGCCGGAACCATGGTGAGGAGAGAGCCTTCCCTCGCTGCCCCCTGCTCGCCCCCGCCGGGATCGGGTCCCCGCGTGGGCCGTGACCTCCTGGTTCCTGGTCAGTGCTCACCCCCTGAGCCCCGCTGACCGGCGCCAGCGTCTTAGAGGTTCTGCAGAGGCACATCAGTGTGTCCGGTGTCTTCCTGGCCGCCTGTCCCTCCCCCTGCTGCCCTCCATCTCCGGGGGGGCGGGGGGCACACCATTTCCCAGCTCCAGTGCGGGAGACAGCAGCCACGCATTCCGACCGGCAGCGCCCGTCCAGCTGGCCGGCAGAGCCAGGGGCTCCGGCGCCGGAGAGAGGCGGCGGGTCCGGCCTGCTCCCGCCTCCCTGCACGGCTGCTGGGCTGCCTCTGGGACTTTATTTTATTTATTTATTTATTTATTTATTTATTTATTTATTTATTTATTTTTAAAATATATTTTATTGATTTTTTACAAAGAGGAAGGGAGAGGGATAGAGAGCTAGAAACATCAATGAGAGAGAAACATCGACCAGCTGCCTCTTGCACACCCCCCACCGGGGATGTGCCCGCAACCAAAGTACATGCCCTTGACCCGAATCGAATCCGGGACCTTTCAGTTCGCAGACCGATGCTCTACCACTGAGCCAAACCGGTTTCGGCTGCCTCTGGGACTTTAGAGAGAGAGGAAGAGAAAGAGCGAGCGAGAGAGGAACATTGATGTGAGAGAAACATGGAGCAGTTGCCTCTGTGAGTGCCCTTGCCGGGGGTCAAACCCGCCACCTGCGTAAGTGCCCGCACTGGGAATTGAACCCTCAGCCTTTTGGTGGGTGGGGACGGCGCTCCAACCAACCAAGCCCCCGGCCAGGCAGACATGCGGGGATTTTAACAGTAAGGGACGTGTGAGAAAAGCAGCTGTGTAATTATAGGGTTGGGTTGGATAGTGTGTGAAACGGAATAAAAATAAAACACGGCAGAGAGGACGGCAGGAAGGAGATATTCAGAATTCCTGTCTGTGGGGAATGAGATGAGGGTTTGGGTTGGGTTTTTTTTTGTTGTTTGTTTTTTAAATGTATTTGTATTGATTTCAGAGAGGACGGGAGAGGGAGAGATAGAAACATCAGTGATGAGAGAGAACCGTTGATTGGCTGCCTCCTTCACGCCCCCCCCCCCCACTGGGGATTGAGCCCACAACCTGGGCACATGCCCTTGACTGGAATTGAACCCTGGACCCTTCAGTCTGCAGACTGACACTCTATCCACTGAGCCAAACTGGCTAAAGTGAGATAAGGGTTTTTCCCCAAAAATAATTTTGTTCTGAAAATAAGCTGAATTTAAAAACTCAGAAATGCTTCTATACATCCCAGTCCAACTCCAGCTCTGTTCCAGTCAAAAGTGGGAAGGTATCTATCCTCTATTATTTATCTACCTATCTGCCTATCTATCATCTATCTATCATCTATCATCTATCTACCATCTATCATTTATCACCTATCATCTATTTACCATCTATCAACTATCCATTATCTGTCTCTCTTCTATCTATCTATCTATCTATCTATCTATCTATTATCAACCTATCTATCTAGCGTGCACATTTCCTGGTGCAGACAGAGGAGTCCTCCGGTTCTTGCTCGGGGAGGGGCTGGCAGGCCGTGGCCGTCTGTCCGGAGCCCCCAGCGCCAGGGGCTCCGGATGGGGGTGAGGAGGGCCGAGAAGGGAGGAGTGAGAACTCAGGGAGGGGGTTCCCTGTGTCTGCGGGCCCCTGGGTGCGGAGTCTCCGTGCTTTCAGAGGAAAGCGCTCAGTGTCGTAATAAAATAACAGCTCCCAGCAGGCGCGTTGCCAGCTGTGCTGAATCGATACCCTGTTAATTGAATGTAACCCCCATAAATCAGGGGGAGCCGGAATTTAACCGGCTGGGTGGGTGATGGCCTCGAGGGCTGGTCGGGGCCTGGTGGGCTTCTCCTCTCCGAGCGAGAAGTGGCCCTCGGGGGTCCTGGCGCCTCGCGGGCGGCCCGGTGGGCGGGCTCCCCCCTCCCCGGCCAGGTCCCTCCTCACAGAAGGGAGCCTGCGGTCCTGCCGTCCCGTCCAGCTCAGAGCTCCTGGGACTGGGGCGACTCCCTCCCGACCCTGGCGGGTTCTCCACAGGGGCCAGGGGACGGGTGGGCACAGCGAGGGGAGGGGCCCCGGCAGCCGCTCCCCGTGGGCAGGCAGGGCGGCCTCCGAGGCAGGTGCCTGCAGATCCCCAGCCGTGGGGTTCCCCCTCGCACCCCAGCCGGGGCTGTTCGTAGACCGGGTCTCCATCTGATCTGGGCCCCGGGGCACCTTATGGGAGAGGGGCCGCCCCGGCCGAGGTCCCAGAGGAAGGAAGGCCTGGCCCGGACCCGGAGCGGTCACCCAGGCACCGGCTCGCCCTGCCCGGGATGGCCTCACGTGGCCGCCCCTGATTCCATCGGAAGTGGCCGTTTTCACCGCGGTCACCGTGCACGGCCCCGGGGTGAGGGCTGAAGCTCGTAAATGGAGGAGGCGCCGTTTAACCCCCGGCGAGGCGCCATTTTGTGGCTGTGCTGGTAGAAAGACAAACATATGCAATTACTTTTTTATAGATAACTCTTTAAAAAATAGCTTTTTATTGATGTCAGAGAGGAAGGGAGGAGAGGGAGAGAGAGAGAAACATCAATGATGAGAGAAGATCATGGATCGGCTGCCCCTGCCTGCCCCCCACTGGGATCAAGCCCGCAGGCGCCCTGACAGGAGTCAAACCGTGACCTCCTGGTTCACAGACCGAGCCCAACGTCTGGGCCAACATTACATTCAAAACATCTTTTTTACCCACAGTTTCCTAATTTTTAAGGAAATGGAGACTTTGCATGGACCCCCAAAAGCATTGTGGGCCTTGGCACTGCCCCTCCGCTGGGCCTCTGGAGGAGGCAGCCCCCCCCTTACCCACGGTGACCCCACCATGGCCCACGGTGACCCCACCATGGCCCACAGTGACCCCACCATGGCCCACGGTGACCCCACCATGACCCACAGTGACCCCACCATGGCCCACGGTGACCCCACCATGACCCACGGTGACCCCACCATGACCCACGGTGACCCCACCATGACCCACGGTGACCCCACCATGGCTCCAGGTTCCCCTGGTCCCCATCAGCTGGAGGCAGCTGCAGGCCGCCCCCAACCCATCTCCCCTTTTTGCTTCCCACTGAGCATCTCCCAGCAGCGGACATGCTGTGGCTTGAGGTCTCACAGCATCGACTTTTATTCTCTTAAAAAAAAAAAAAAAAAAAAGCCAAAGTCAGTTTGGCTCAGCGGTAGAGCATCGGTCTGCGGACTGAAAGGTCCCGGGTTCGATTCCGGTCAGGGGCATGTGCCTTGGTTGCGGGCACATCCCCGGTGGGGGGTGTGCAGGAGGCAGCTGGTCGATGTTCCTCTCTCATCGATGTTTCTAGCTCTCTAGCTCTCTCCCTTCCTCTCTGTAAAAAATCAATACTATATATATATATATATATATATATATATATATATATATATATATATATATATATATTTTTTTTTTTTTTTTTTTAAAGCAGCTTCCCAGAGACAGAGCCTGGTCACACGGTATTGAAAATAGAAAGCTGCCACCAGGGTAATAACAGTGACGCGGAGTGGCCGTGTCGGACAGCTGCCCCCGCACTGTTGAAAGCCCGGGCCCCGTCTGCTTTGTGCAGACCTGGTCATAGGAAAGCCGCTGACGCCCCCGAAAAGTAGAGCTGGCTCCGCAGCTGGACGTGTGCCCCTGCCCTGGCGTGTGTGTGTGCGTATGAGTGTGCGTGCGTGTGCGTGCGTGCGTGTGCGTGCGTGTGAGTGTGTGCGTGCGTGCGTGTGAGTGTGTGTGTGCGTGCGTGTGAGTGTGTGTGCGTGCGTGCGTGTGCATGTGCGTGTGTGTGCATGTGTGTGCGTGTGAGTGTGTGTGTGCGTGCGTGCGTGTGCATGTGCGTGTGTGTGCGCGTGTGTGAGTGTGTGAGTGTGTGCGTGTGAGTGTGTGTGAGTGTGTGCGTGTGCGTGTGAGTGTGCGTGTGTGTGCGTGTGTGTGCGCGTGTGTGAGTGTGTGAGTGTGTGTGTGCGTGTGTGTGTGTGAGTGTGTGAGTGTGTGTGTGTGCGTGTGCGTGTGAGTGTGCGTGTGTGTGCGTGTGTGTGCGCGTGTGTGAGTGTGTGAGTGTGTGTGTGCGTGTGTGTGTGTGTGAGTGTGTGTGTGTGAGTGTGTGTGTGCGTGTGTGTGAGTGTGTGTGTGTGCGTGTGCGTGTGCGTGTGTGAGTGTGTGAGTGTGTGTGTGTGCGTGTGTGTGCGTGTGTGTGAGTGTGTGTGTGCGTGTGTGAGTGTGTGTGTGTGTGTGTGCGTGTGTGTGTGTGTGCGTGTGTGTGTGCGTGTGCGTGTGCGTGTGTGAGTGTGTGAGTGTGCGTGTGTGTGCGTGTGTGTGTGCGTGTGTGTGTGCGTGTGCGTGTGTGTGTGTGTGGGTGGCAGCGTCTGCTGAGTGCCCGCTGCCGGCGGAGCAGCTCGCACTCCGCCCGAGGTCTCAGCCTTAGGGCCGCCCCGAGAGGCAGTTGAGGTCGGAGGCCGTGGCCGTGGCCGTGGTGTGGGGCGGTAAATACATGTGAGGCCCTGGGGCGGGTTCGTTCCCGACCCGACAGTCGCCTCCTGTTAGTCCCCGCGGCTTCAGGGATTATCGGGGCGAGAGGGTCCTTCCGGGCAGCTGCAGAGGCTCAGGGCCTCGGGCGCTGGGGACTGACGCTGCTGTCCTGTTTTTAAAATATGAATATTTTATTGATTTTTTACAGAGAGGAAGAGAGAGGGATAGAGAGTTAGAGACATCGATGAGAGAGAATCATCGATCCGCTGCCCCCTGCACACCCCCCACTGGGGATGTGCCCGCAACCAGGGCACATGCTCTTGACCGGAATCGAACCCGGGACTCTTCAGTCCGCAGGCCGATGCTCTATCCTCTGAGCCAAATGGGTTTCAGCAGCCCTGTTTGTTTTTAAATCTATTTTTATTGATGTCAGAGAGGAAGGGAGAGGGAGAGAGAAAAACACTGGGGATGGTGCCCATAACCCAGGCCGGTGCCCTGACCGGGCTCGAGCCCTGACTTCCTGCTCCATAGGTTGACACTCAGCCCCTGAGCCTCACCGGCGGGCTGTCCTGGGTTTTGAAGGGATTTCTCAGGCTGCTTGGGCCCCGGGCACTGCCCTCTGGCACACGGGCAGACACGCCTGACACAGGCAGGCTCGGCGTGTGATGCAGGCTCTGTGCACGGGGTGGTTAGGGCCCTCCAGCCGGCTGGGCGGGCGGCTCCGTGTCCGGCCCGGCCTCACCCTCACTGCGTCCGTGCGGGGCAGGTGGTGGCCTGTGAGCCCTGCATCTTCCCTTTGCTCACCGACAGCCGACCCGGGCAGGTCCCGGGCTCCCCGCTCAGCCGGCTTCTCCCGCAGGCAGCCCCCGGCGGCCGGCCTCATGGAGCGGATCCAGGCCATCGCGCAGAACGTCTCGGACATCGCCGTGAAGGTGGACCAGATCCTGCGCCACAGCCTCGTCCTGCACAGCAAGGGTGAGCCAGGTCCACCCCCCCTCCCCTCCCTTTTCCTCCTCTTCCCCTCCCTCAGGGCCACCTACAGCCTCGTCCTGCACAGCCAGGGTGAGCCAGGCCAGCCTTCCCCGGGGCCAGTGTACGGTGGCCGGCATGGCCTCGGGGTCCCTGACTCCTCCCCCAGGGCTCCCTAGGCCTCCACAGGGCACATGGGTTCACCCCCCCTGCCACGAGGGTGCTGAGAACAGGCCCCTGAGACTCAGGTGGCCCCCCGATCCCCGTGACGTGGGAGCATCCATCTGGGGTGCGGGCCCACCTCTGCCCTGAGAAAGTGGGGGCACATCTGGTGCACGAGGTCTGCCCATCCCTGCAGCCGATCCGTAGCCAGCTCCTCCACGGGTCTGAGCCTCCTCAGAGGGTGGGAGCAGCGGCAGAGGGGGCGCCCCTCCTGGCGGGGGCCCTCAGGTGAGAGACTCGGACAGGGCTGTGCCGGCGCCTGCCGCCCTCCGTGCCCAGACCCTCCGCTCCGCCCGCCCGCCCGCCCTCCCTCCGGCCCTCCGGCCAAGCCCGGCCCCGCCCTCAGCCTGAGGCCTTCTCCCCGCAGTGTCCGAAGGCCGGCCGGACCAGTGCGAGGCGCCCAGTGACCCCCAGTTCCCTGACTGCTCCGGGAAGGTGGAGGTGAGGCTGGGGCTGGGGCTGCGGTGGGGTGACCAGGAGGCGGGCTCCTCCGTGGGGGCCTCGCCCCAGACTAGCTCCGGGGTTCCGCTGCTGGCAGGGCTACCCGCCAGCCAGGGCCTCTCTGCCCAGCCCCTGCCCTGACCCTGGCACTGGCTGGCAGGGGCCAACCTCAGGGTCACTGCTTCTCCGCGTGGGCCCACCCCACAGTCCCAGGCTGAGCCACGCTCCAGCACCTTCTATAGCAAACGAGCTGTAAATATACGGCGCTCCTCAGCAGCCCGACTCCCCCCCGGATTCTAACGAGGAGCGGACTGGTCTCTCCTCCCGCCTGGGGGTTAACCAGCGGCACTGACCCCCTCGGCCCCCCTCCCGGGACCTACGGCTGCAGGAAGTCTGACCATCGGGGCCAGGGCGTGGCTGTGAAAGCAGCTCCTCGCTGGTCTGGGCTCCCTGAGAGGGTGGCGGGACTCAGACCCTTCCCCGCAGGAGCCCTGAGGTGTCCTGCCCAGCCCCAGCCCTCAGGGCTGCTCCTGACCTTGGCCCCAGTGGACTGCAGCCAGGGCCTGACCTTGCTCCTGACCTTGGCCTCAGTGGACTCCTGCCGTGCCCCGGCCGGGCGTTGTTCCCCGGGTCTCTCTCTGGACCTGGAGGATGGCGGTCCGGCCTGGCCCTCCCTGAGCTTCTGGGGCCGGCCAGGGCCTGGGGGCCTGGTTCAGTCTCCCTTCCCTGCTCTGTCCTTTGCTGCATCTCCAGGGGGCCCAGAGGCCCCGGCCCCGGCCAGAGGACCTCGGGGTCCCAGGGCCATGCGTGCGGGGGAGCGGGAGGGCGGGCGGCCCGCCCCTGGCCCAGCTGGCCTCTTTGCAGTGGATGCGCGCCCGCTGGACCTCGGACCCCTGCTACGCCTTCTTCGGGGTGGACGGCACCGAGTGCTCCTTCCTCATCTACCTCAGCGAGGTCGAGTGGTTCTGCCCCCGACTGCCCTGGAGGAACCGCACGGCCCCCCACACGGCCCCCCAGCCCCTCCCCAGGGCCCAGGTAGGCTGGGAGCGGGTGAGCTGGTGAGGGCGCGGTGGGCCGTCATCTGGCCCCTCCGGGCTGGATACCCTGCTGGACGGAAAGCTGGCCTGACAGTGCCTGGCCCCCTTCTGGGGGTGCCGCTCACCTGGGCCCACTTGGGGGGGGCTGGGCCCTGAGGCTCCCCCTTAATGGGCCAGAATAACAGCAACAGTAGCCGCCCTGCTTACGGGCCTCCCGGGTGCCCTTAGGCGATTGGTTTTGGCAGACGGCGGTTGGAGTCCGGAGTTGAGCTAGTTCAGGGCACGACTACCTGGCTCCTCTGGAAGGCGGCCAGCCTCCCTGGCCTCCGGGCCCTGCCCTGGCCACTACCCTCTGCCTCCTGGCAGCACCTGGGTCCCTGGGACCCTGACGGCCGAGCAGCTCCTGAGGCTCCGGACAGGCCTACGTGGCGGGGGGAGGGGGGAGGAGGGAGGCAGGGACCCCCACTGTGGGGCCACTGGGCCTCTTAGAAAGGGTGGGAGAAGCGAGAGCCGGCCCAGCCTCGCGGGAGGTGCCAGCCCCGTCCAGGGCAGCAGGGGGAGGCGATAGCGTGGCTGCAGGTCCGAGAGTGAGAGCGAGGACGGACTCCCCTCCAGGCCGTTTTCCGGAGCAACCTGACTCACCTGCTGGAGCTGATGGGCAGCGGGAAGGAGTCTCTAATCTTCATGAAAAAACGGACCCGGCGGCTCGCGGACCAGTGGGCACTGGCCGCCCAGCGCCTGGCGCGGAAGCTGGGGGGCGCCCAGAGGGACCAGAAGCAGGTACCTGACCTCTGACCTGTGCAGGGAGTGGAGCTCAGAGCACCCAGGAAGTGAGCACCAGGGCCCAGGGCCCCACGGGACCCGGTGTGCCCTCGAAAGAGTTCTGTGAGATTTATTAAGTTTGAGCCGGAAGCGGGAGGGGAGGCAGTGAGGTTAGAGGCACATGGTGGCCTGGCGCCTTTTCGGGTCTGGGAAAGCCAAACTCCGACCCCTCAGAGGCCCTGCATTCTGTGGACTCTGGTTCTCGCTGGCGGAATTGTCATTGCCTTTGTCTGAAGGCTGGGAAGGATGTAGCCTGTTTGGGGAGGGTTCACTGGTCCATCCATCGTCCATCCATCATCCATCCATCACCCATCCATCCACCATCCATCGTCCATTTATCCATCCATCCATCCATCATCCATCCATCACCCATCTATCCACCATCCACCGTCCATTTATCCATCCATCCATCACCCATCCATCCACCATCCATCATCCATCCATCCATCCATCATCCACCATCCATCCATCATCCACCCATCCACCCATCCATCCGTCCAGTGAATACTGACCTGACTCTCCATCGTCCTGTCTGTCTCAGAGCCCCTCTCATTTCATGAAATTCTCCCTTGTCTGTGTCACTGTGTCTCCTCTCCATCCGGAACGTAGGCGCCGGGAGGGCAGCTGTGACTGTTCCCCTGCAGCCCCCGCCCGGCGGCCACTCTGCCTCGGCTCCCATGCCCAGGCCCAGCGTGGAGAGTGCCTGCTGCGCCGGGTCCCTGGGCGGCAGGGCTGTCTCCCGTGCTGACGCTCCGTGTCCCCCCAGATCCTCGTCCACATCGGCTTCCTGACGGAGGAGTCCGGGGACGTGTTCAGCCCGCGGGTGCTGAAGGGCGGGCCGCTGGGGGAGATGGTGCAGTGGGCGGACATCCTGGCCGCCCTCTACGTGCTGGGCCACGGCCTGCGGGTCACCGTGTCCCTGAAGGAGCTGCAGAGGTGAGTGCCCGGGAGGGGAGCCCGTCCCCGGAACCCTGCCCCGTCTGCCACCCCCTCCTCCCCGCGGGCACCCGGTCATGTGTGGGATGCGCCACAGAAGCGTGTTCGCACGGTGCTGCTCGCACGGTTGAGTTCAGGGGCGGTGCCGGTGCCAGTGCCGGTGCCGGTGCCCGGGCTGGCAAACACTGGCCTGTGGAGTGGAGCCGTGCTGGAAGCGGGGTCCCCTCGGCCTGCTGGTCTGGGGGAGACTCGCAGTGGCTCTTCCGGAACTGGGCTCCTCCTGGGCCTGTCTGGGGGCCGGAGGGTGTGAGCTGGGCTGGCCATGCCCACCCCTTCCCCAGGCCTGCCTTTCCCGTCCTCGTCCTCGGGTGTGAGGGAGGCGAGTGGTTGGGGGGGGGGGGGTGTGCCTGAGGCACATGTAAGTGACGGTGGTGACTGGTGACGGTGGTGACTGGTGACAGTGGTGACGGGACTGGGACTGGCCGGCTGCACCAGGTAGCAGGGTGGCAGCGCTGGGGAGCACCAGCCCAGGTTCCGGGGCTCAGGTGCCACCTGGAAATAGCACCTCCGCCCCATCTGGCCCAGCGTCACCCCAGCGGGAGGGTCTGGGCAGGGAGCTGTCCCCAGGGCCGGTGCTGACCCTCAGACCTGCTGGGAGAGGGAGCTGGCACGCCGCCCCCTCTGGCTCCTGGCCGCCCCCGTGGCATTTTGTTGCCAAACCAAGCTGTTCGCACCGTGTGAGCCACTTCAGAGCCGGGCGTGCCCACTCATCACCCACCAGCCGTGCTGCTCACTGCAGTGCCCACCGCGCTCTGAGGGAGCGCCAGCCGGGAGCGGAGCCGCAGGGCGGCCAGTGCCTGCCAAGCTCCCGGGAACCCGCCTGACAGGAGGCATCCCCTCCCTCGCGCTCCTGCAGGCAGTCAGACGGGGCGAGCGTGGGGGCGGAGGAGGAGGGCACCGGTGTGTGGGAGCCCAGGAAGCCGTGGGCAGCTTGTGGGTGGCACAGCCAGCGGCTCTGGTAGCCGTGAGCCGGGCTGCCATCGCCCACCACAGGGCCAGAGCGTGAAGAAGGGGGAGCCCCGAAGGCGAGGCCCTGCCGAGAAGTCCCCCGATCTGAAATGCCCCCTGCTGCCATTTCTTTCTCTACACACGTGCACCCACACGCACACATGTGTGCACATGCATGCACGCCACCACACACACACACCCATGCACGTGCTCACAGGCATGTATGTGTGCGTATATGCTGTGCATACCCTGTGCTTGTACACACAGACACATCCATGCACACTTCTACATGCACCTCCACACCTCCACATACATGCAACCCCCGGTGCATGACTTCACCTCACGGCGCCTGTGTGAACCCCCACAGGCGCCCCCACAGAAGATCCCTGCCTTCCCATGTCCCATCACTCCCTGCCCGGCTTCTGTGGGTTGGAAATGCCCAGAAGCGGGGGCTGCAGGGAGAGGCGCCCCTCGGAGGCGGCCGGAGGGGGGCGTCAGGTGGGAGGGTGTGCTTTGGGCCACGCCCTTTCCGGTTGTTCGGTTTTCCTGTGACAGGTGTGGGCCGGGCTGAGAGCTTCTCCGGCTCCTTCCTGGCCGGGGCCACCCTCACAGCACTCCGGGCAGGCTGTCCCGGCCGCAGCTGCTGGAGCCGAGGACCAGACCCTGGCATCCACTGTCTCCGCCCCAGGGCGTCCGAGATGAGGGTGTGAGCGCAGGGCGGGCCGGGAGGTTCCTTCCCGGCTGGGGGTCTGCCCAGGCCCCGCCCCTGCTGCGGCAGTGCTTGGCGTTCGCTGGTTTGCAGAAGCGTCACCGAGACCCTGCCCTCACCCTCACACGGCCTTCCCCTGTGCCTGCGGTTGTCTCCACATTTCCTCTTTAAAAAAAGGTTTTTTAATTGACTTCAGAGAGAGGAAGGGAAAGGGGGAGAGAGTAGAAACATGGATGAGAGAGAAACATCTCTCAGCTGTCTCCTGCAGCCCCCCTATGGGATCGAACCCCGGCATGTGCCCTGCCCCGAATCGAACTGGTGACCTCCTGGTGCCTGATGCTCAACCTCGGAGCCACACCAGCCAGGCAGGTTGCTGTTTCTTTTCTTTTCTTTTTTTCTTCCTCTTTCTTTCTTTCTTTCTTTCTTCCTTTTTAAATATATTTTTATTGGTTTCAGAGAGGAAGAGAGAGAGGGAGAGAGAAACATCAATGATGAGAATCATTGATTGACTGCCTCCTTCATGACCCTTTCCTGGGGATCGAGCCCACAACCTGGGCATGTGCCCTTAACTGGAATCAAACCCGGGACCTTCAGTCCACAGGTCCATGCTCTACCCACTGAGCCACACCGGCTTCGGCAGATTTCTGTTTCTTATAAGGATGCCGGTGAGGGAAGGCCCACCTGGTGGCCTCATGCCAACGTGGTGGCCTCTGTAAAGACCTGCCTCCACATGCGGTCACATCCTGGGGTGTTGGGGTGAGGACTTCAACCTATGGATTTTGGGGGGGACACACGCAGCCCATAGCAAGATTGTGGCCGCTGGAGCGGAGGGGCGTTGGGGCGGAGAGAGCTGGCCTGTGCGTGGCCTGGGTTCTGCGGGAGCAGGTCCGCAGCCTCGCCTCCGGGGAGCGTTCCGTGCGGGCGGCACCGAGTTAATCTGGAAATAGGTCAGCGGGAGGTGAGCGATGTGCGTGCTGGGGCTGCCTCGGCGGCGTCTGCGTCTGCGACAGAGGCGGCTCCCTGGGTGGAAACAGCCTGTGCGGGGCGCGGACGGACACTGCGGGGACGTTGGCTGCAGTTTGTTTCCAGATGCTCCCAGCGGACAGCCGGCCGCTCCCCCCGCTCTCTCCCGCTTCCCCCGACTTCCCCCCCCCGCATGTTAATTAACCGGCTCCCGCAGGGCGCTGGGGCAATACCGAGCCCGCACCTGGCTCTGCTGCTGCTGGAGGTGATGTCAGACAGCGGAGGGGAGGAGCCAGAGCCCCCGGGGCTGCACCCCAACTTATCCTCATGACTGCCTGGTTCCGTGGTTGGCATTTAAAAAAAAACAAAACATTTTTATTGATTTCAGAGAGGAAGGGAGAGGGAGAGGTAAATGAAAACATTAATGATGAGAATCATTGATTGCTGCCTCCTGCACGCCCCCTACTGGGGATTGAGCCCCCAACCCGGGTTGTGCCCTGACCGGGAATAGAACTGTGACCTCCTGGTTCATGGGTTGATGCTCGACCGTGGGGCCACGCCGGCCGGGCGGGCCTCAGCGGGCGCTGGAAAGTTGAGCTTTCCCTCTCCCACCTCCCGGGATCGGCTGTGCTCATCAATTTTACTTGCATCATTTCAAGCATCATTAATGGGACGCGGCCTGAGGAAAATTACAGGCTCTGCCTCCGCCCGCGAGTGCACTTGGGCTGAGTGGGGAATTAGCCGACTCGGCTGGCGGATGACGGGGCTGGCGAGCAGGGAGTCGGGGGGGGGGGGTATAGGGGGGGCGGAGCGGAAACGGCCGCCATGCTCGCGGCCCCACGGGGGTCAGCATCCTGGCCTTTCTGCTGTTCATGTTCGCCAAGGGAGATCGGCGAGGGTCCCCCGAGACTGACCCATCCACCCGGCCCAGCCTGACAGCCGCCTCCGGCTCATCTCTCCGGGGAGCCGGCGGGGCCAGGCCCGGGTGGGAAGCCCCTCGGATGGATGTGGCCGTGACCGGCTCACAGGCTGCACGCGCCGCCCGGAGCAGCCGTCCCGAGGCGGGACGCGAGTGCGTGGGGAGACCCGGGGGTTGGGGGCCGTCGGGCGGGTTGGAGGTGCCGTGAGGCCGCGGGGACGGTCCAGGACTTAGAATGGAGTCCCGGTGTCGGCGAGGCGGCGGGGCCGGGAGAAACCTACAGAAGCGGCCCCCCCCCACATCGCTCACCGATGCCAGCAGCTCGGGAGAGGCCAGGCCTGCTGTCCTCTGGAAGGGAGCCGGGCAGGGCCCTGGGTCGGGCCTGGGGACAGAGGGTCGGCAGTGGCTCCCGGAATGAGACGGACCGGGAGCCTGGGCGTGCTGGCTCTGGGCTGAGGATCCCGGAGCCCCCAGTGTGAGAGGCTGTGACCGAGGCCCTTCCCGCAGGAGAGGGGCGGGCGCGCGTGTTCCGGAATCGGAGCGCTCCCGGGAGGGCTATTCCAGCCCGGACCGAAGGCCCCGGAGAGGCCGTGGGCACCGCGGGCACCGCGTGTGGGCGAGGAGGCGGGCACGGGGCATTCGGGTCCGTGCAAGGCCAGGAATGCTTTCCGGGGGCCCCCACAGGGCTCCGGGGTTCTCAGGCCGCCTCCCAGCGAGGCTTCTGGACCCCAAAACCGGGGGTGGGGGAGGCGGCAGCTGCTGTCCGGGGAGGAAACGGGCTTCCGCAGGGGCAGACACGCTCCCTGGCTCAGGGCTCAGCACAGACTGTCTGAGTGCGGCTCGGAGCCTGTCACCTGCATGGGGGGGGGGTGGGGGGCTCCTGCATGGTGGGCAGGGGCTCTTGGCAGGAGTTACACGGCTGCTGTGCCATGTCCTTCGGGCTCCAGTGGGACGACCCCAAGGCTCTGGCGCCAGAGCAGCTCCGTCCCAGATGGAAATGCTCACGAGAACGAGTGGCAGCAGGTGCCCTGCGGGCAGGGCCGGGCATCTCCGGGGCCGGGTGCCAGTCAGCAGCGCAGGATTACACGAGGCCGACGGGGCGGGGTTCGGCTGCCTGTGGCTCCGAGGGAAGGCTGAGGGGCGCTCTAGCGGGGAGCTCGCGTGTGGGGTTAGCAAAGGCGCCCCTTCCTGCTGGCCGGTGCCAGGCCGGACCTCGGGGCCCCTGGGCCCCCCATTCAGGCGCCCTGCTCCCTCCCTGTGCCAGCGCGTCTCCCCAGCGCCCTCCCTGCCCGTGTCTGTCCTGGGAATGGGGGAGGCGGGTCTCTGGGCCTGGGGGTCCCTGGGGCTCAGACTCTGACGCTCTCCTCTCAGTAACCTAGGGGTGCCGCCGGGCCGGGGGAGCTGCCCGCTCACCGTGCCGCTGCCGTTCGACCTCATCTACACCGACTACCACGGCCTGCAGCAGATGAGGCAGCACATGGGGCTGTCCTTCCGGGAGTACCGGTGAGGCGGGGGTGGGGGCGCGCCCTGGAGGGCGCCTGGCCCGGGTCCCCCTGTCCCTGTCCTCCCCCCTCCCCCATCCCTGTCCCTCCCTGTCCCCGTCCTCCCCCATCCCTGTCCCTCCCTGTCCCCATCCTCCCCCCTGTCCCTATCCCTCCCTGTCCCTGTCCTCCCCCTGTCCCTATCCCTCCCTGTCCCCATCCTCCCCCCTGTCCCTGACCCTCCCTGTCCCCGTCCTCCACCTATCCCTGTCCCTCCCTGTCCCTGTCCTCCCTCTCCCTTCCTCCTCCAAGGAACCCTGCCCCCCCCCCCCCCCCCGCTGACCCCAGGGACAAGGAACCACGGCTCAGCCGGTGGCCCTCTGCTGCGGCCCTCTGTGGGGCCCTCGCACCCACCCGGGGAAGGCCAGGGCCACGCTCGGTCTGGCAGACGCGGGGCGGGGTATGCGGCACTGGAGCTGGCTCTGCATGGTGTCAGGCCTGCCTCGGTGACGGGCCCTCGTGGTTTCATTAGGGAAGTGACAGGCAGCATTCCCGCTTTTATTATTAATGTGCCCGCTGCTCACCGCCCCCCTCTCCGGAGGAGGCTGCCTCAGCAGCTGTGGCCGGCCTGGACCGGGAAGGAGGCGGGGAGGGAGCTCCTGGGGCCAGTGGGTCTTCGGTGCCCAGTCCCGGAGGGGGGGGAGCCGGGGGGGCGCAGGAGGAAGGGAGCTGTGGCCATTGGGAGCGGCCTCAGGTGGGTCAGAGCCTGCCCAGCTGGAGGCCAGCGGACGTGGCCAGACTGGCGCTGCCTGCCCAGGGTGTGCCCGCCCTGCCGGCCCTGGCCCCTGCCCTTTGCACTTCAGCCGGATGGCCAGGCACAGCCTGGGGTGCGGGCTCCTGGGCAGAGGGGAAAGTGCAGATTGTACAGGGGACCCCGGGACCGTGTGGGGGACCCCCCAGGCAGGGCCTCCCCTCCGAGGCTGCTGGGGGGCAGCCTAACCGCTGGCAGTGGAGATCCTGGGCGGCTGTCATCCTTCTCGATGGGTGATGGGATAGTCCCTCCTCCCCCGGTGCTGGGCCCATCCCTGCCGTTGGGGTGCCCACCTGGGTCAGCCCACATCTCGCCTCACATGGCACCGCCCCCGCTGGGCACCCGGGCCCGGGAGATGCGAGCTGGCTGACCCTGACTCCCATCCCCGGGCAGGTGCCGGCTCCGGGTCATCGACACCTTCGGCACGGAGCCCGCCTACAACCACGAGGAGTACGCCACGCTGCACGGCTACCGCACCACCTGGGGCTACTGGAACCTCCGCCCCCAGCAGTTCATGACCATGTTCCGTGAGTGTGGGCCGCGGGCGGGCACCCAGGAGGCGGCTCCGCCCCCACAGGCCAGGCTCCGCCTCCTCCGGGGAGCCGGCTCCCCCTCCAGCACGGGTGTGAGCCGGGAAGGCTGCCCCTGCGGGCGGCAGGGAGCGGCGCGGCGGGAGCGCCTGGGTGTGGGGGCCCGCAGCGCCTGGCCTTGCCCTCCGGGGCCTTCCGGACAGGCCACGGGGGATGGGGTGGAGGGGCGGGACAGCCAGGCTCTCCTGCGAGGGAACGGGCGTGGTGAGATGGGCGTGGGGGAAGCAGGAGATGGGGGAAGAGGCTTCTGTAATCAGCCACACGGAGCCATAGCGGGTTTGGCTCCGTGGATGGAGCGTCAGCCTGCGGACTGAAAGGTCTCAGGTTCGATTCCGGTCAGAGGCATGTACCTTGATTTCAAGTTCTTCCCCAGTGGGGGGTGTGCAGGAGGCAGCTGACTGATGTTTCTAACTCTCTATCCCTCTCCCTCTCTGTAAAAAATCAATAATATATATATTTAATATATATATATATATTATTGAGTTTTTAGAGAGAAAGGGAGAGAGACAGAGAGCTAGAAACATCGATGAGAGAGAAATATCGACCAGCTGCCTCAGGCACACCCCCTACCGGGGATGTGCCCACAACCAACATACATGCCCTTGACCAGAATCGAACCCAGGACCCTTCAGTCCACAGACCGACACTACCACTGAGCCAAACCAGTTTCGGCAATAAAATATATATTTTAAAAAATAATCTACACGGACAAAATAAGGACTTGGCCTGGGGTGGAGCCCCCTGGATGTGGAGCTCCAAACTCCTACTCATCCTCCAAAACCCCGTGTGAAATGTTCCCTCTCTGCCATCACTTTCAGGGATCCCCTCATCTCCTACTCCAGGCAGAACGTTTTTATAACTCTTAAATACACCTCATTCGGTTAAAGCATATATTGAATTATATGAGAACTATTTGCAAACACATTTACTCTCGCTGATAGATTATGAATCACTAAAGAAGGAGCCACTGGCTAATTTATCTTTATTTCCCTAACGCCCCCTGAGGTCCTCAGAAAATGTTAATTGGTTGAATAAATTAAAGAGAGAGAAAACAGAACCCAGAGCGGCTTGCTGGCTTCAGTGGCACATCCCGTGCAGGCAGCCAGGCACCAGCAGCCCGCCTTCCCGTCGCGGTCAGCTCCCGGCTGCCCCCCCACACCATACCCCTCCCCGCCTGCCCCTTGCCCTGGCCTCATCCTGCCCCATCCCCCCCAGCTCCGTGCTTAATCGTCCTGTTATTTTATAATTTTTAAAAATATATTTTATTGATTTTTTTTTTTTTTACAGAGAGGAAGGGAGAGGGAGAGAGAGTTAGAAACATCGATGAGAGAGAAACATCGATCAGCTGCCTCCTGCACACTCCCCACCGGGGATGTGCCCGCAACCCAGGTGCATGCCCTTGACCTGAATCGAACCCGGGACCCTTCAGTTCGCAGGCCGACGCTCTGTCCACTGAGCCACACCGGTTTTGGCCGTCCTGTTATTTTAATTGGTTGCCGTACTTCCTGTGCCATGTCCACTTGGTTTGCCCATTGTGTCCTAAACATTGTGTCCTGGGGGAGGGCGGAACGAGGGATTGAGTCTTCAGCTGGGAGAATAAGGAGGAGGGAGACCAGGGAGAGGCCTGGGTAGCAGCCCGGCTGGAGCCAGCGGGGAGGGAGGGAGGATGGGGCTGGCCAGGCAATGGGGCCGGGGAGCCAGGGAGGGTCTGGTCCACCCTCCCGGGGCCCCTCCCTGGCTAGGCTAGCCGGGGCAGAGCCTCCGGAGACATCACAGAAATGAGCCCAGGCCCAGCAGACGCCCCTCAGGGTTCCTCGCACCCAACCGAGGCCGGTGACCGTTTCTGGGAGAGGGAGAGGCCGGGCCAGGGCGCGGTGGGTGCTCTGCCCCAAGACCTTCACCCCAGCCCCTCCGTCCTGCCACGCGGGCGGCCTGGAGCCTGGGAGCCTGGTGACGCCCGCCCTCCCTCCCTCCCTCCTGCGGTCTGGCTGCAGCTCACACGCCAGACAACTCCTTCATGGGCTTCGTGTCGGAGGAGCTGAACCAGACGGAGAAGCAGCGCGTCAAGGCCGGCAAGGCCCGCAACATGGCTGTGGTGTACGGCAAGGAGGCCGGCATCTGGAAGGTGCGCCCACCCCCGCCTGCCCCCGCACACCCCGAGGGGGGCGCCCGCTCCTGGGTCAGGAGAGAGGTCCCTGACCACCATGGGCTGCTCCTTGTCCCCCGCCCCCCCTGCTCTGCCCCTAACTCAGTGTCCTTGACTGAGGCCTGTGACTTCACCCTCCTCCTCCCCCTCCCCCCTCCCCCCTCCCCCCTCCGCCACCCTTCCCCCACCCCCTCTCTCCTCCCCCTTCCCTCCTCCCTTCCTTCTTCCTCCTCCCCCCACCCCCTCCCCCCTCTCCCTTTCTCCCTCTCCCTCCTCCCTCCTCCCTGGGATGGGAAGGGCTTAGGTGAGACTTGGGGGCTCTGTGGGATGGGGGCCATGGACAAAGCGGGAGAGGACCAGGGATTGGAACCCCATTTTCAGGGCGGGGTCCCGGAGGAGTGCTGCCTGCGGGCAGGGTGCCTGCTCGCCGGGCACTGACCTGCTCTCCCCTCTTTTCTCTGCCCCCCTGGCCCGAGGCAGCTCCAGGTAGGTGACCGCTGCGTGTCCCTCCTCCTCCTGCTATCACGTGACCTTCCTGCAGACTGACCCTCACGGTGGTGGTCAGGATTGGGTTCAGGGAACAGGGGCAGAAGATGGAGGGTCGGAGGAGAGGGGCTGTGTGGGGGCACACAGCTGGTTAGGGCTGGTCCACGCCTCCGGCTTCCAGACCAGGCCCCTCCTGCTGCCCCGCACCCCGGGGCCGGCGGCCGGCTCCCACCTCCCCTCGCCCCCCAGGGGAAGGAGAAGGTGCTGAGCATCCTGAGCGCGCACATGGAGGTCCACGGCACCGTGTTCTACGAGAGCCAGCGGCCCCCCGAGGTCCCCGCCTTCGTCAAGAACCACGGGCTCCTGCCGCAGCCCGAGTTCCAGCAGCTGCTGCGCAAGGCCAAGGTGAGCGGGCGCGCCCGGGCGGCGCTCCGGTGAACGGCCTCCGTGCGGATTCAGTCACCGGCCGGCGCCTGCGGGAGTCCGCGCCGGGCGCTCTCCTGGCAGATGGGTGCGGGTGGTGTCTGCGGGGTGAATGGTCAGGGTCCTTTGAGGGCGGCTGAGGTGGGGTCCACGGTTCCCCTTCCCCGCAGAACCGGCCTCTAGAGCAGCAACTCACCGATGGCCTCCCCTGCCCCCATTTCACAATGGGGAAACCGAGGCCAGGGAGGGGAGGCTCTGGCCGTGGCACCAGCTGGGCTGGGCTGTTTTTATTATTATTATTGTTATTGTTGTTGCTGTTTAATTCAGAGAGGAAGGGAGAAGGGGAGAGAGAGGGAAACATCGGTGATGAGAGAGAATCATTGCCTCCTCTCGCCCACGCCCATAACCCGGGCCTGTGTCCTGACCGGGAATCGAACCCTGACCTCCTGGTCCATAGGTCGATGCTCAACCGCTGAGCCACCCTGGCCGGGCTGAGCTGCCTTTCCTCCCCCTCCCCCTCACCCCCATTGCCTCCTGCGTGAACGCCCAACCCCACCTCGCCCCGCTCCCGGGCTGCGTGTGGTCCTGGCCTGACCGCCGCCGCCTCTCTCAGCTCTTCGTAGGGTTCGGCTTCCCCTACGAGGGCCCCGCGCCCCTGGAGGCCATCGCCAATGGCTGCGTCTTCCTGCAGTCCCGCTTCCGCCCGCCCCACAGCTCCCTCAACCACGAGTTCTTCCGCGGCAAGCCCACCTCCAGGGAGGTGAGTGGGGACCAGCCTCCAATCTGAGGGTCTCAGGGGGGGGCCCTGCAGGTCCTGAAGAGGGAGGCCGAGGCAAAGGGACGCTGGGGCCAGTGGGCGGGGTTCTGGGGCTGGTGAGCGGGGCGATTGGACCGGTGGGAGGGGCTATGGGAGCAGGTGGGTGGAGCTATGAGGCCAGTGAGGGGGCGTTGGGGTCGGGTGGGTGGGGCGCTAGGACCGGTGGGCGGGGCGGTGAGGCTAGTGGGCAGTGCGTTGTGCTGGTGGGCGGGGCGATGGGGTCGGTGGGAGGGGCCGGGTTGGATTGGTGGGCGGGGCGCTAGGCCAGTGGGCGGGGCACTGAGTCTAGTGGGCAGGGCGTTGTGCTGGTGGGCGGGGCAATGGGGTCGGTAGCAGGGGCTATGGGGCAGGTGGGTGGAGCTATGAGGGCAGTGGGCGGGGCGTTTTGGGTTGGTGTGCGGGGCTGGTGGGACCGGTGGGCGGGACACTGGGGCTGGTGGGCGGGGCGCTGAGTCTAGTGGGCAGGGTGTTGTGCCGGTGGGCGGGGCAATGGGGTTGGCGGGAGGGGCTATGGGCAGGTGGGTGGAGCTATGAGGCCAGTGGGCGGGGCGTTTTGGGTCTGGTGGGTGGGGCACTAGGCCGGCGGGCGGGTCTATGGCAGGTGGGCGGGGCCGGTGGGCCGGTGGGCGGGGCGCTGAGGCTAGTGGGCGGGGCGTTGTGCCAGTGGGCAGGGCGATGGGGTTGGCGGGAGGGGCTATGGGGCAGGTGGGTGGAGCTATGAGCCCAGTGGGCGGGGCGTTTGGGTCGGTGGGCGGGGCCGGGCCGGGGGGCGGGGCGCTGCACCGCCGCCCTGCCCCAGGTGTTCTCGCAGCACCCGTACGCAGAGCGCTTCATCGGCAAGCCGCACGTGTGGACCGTGGACTACAACAACTCGGCGGAGTTTGAGGCCGCCATCAAGGCCATCATGGGCACCCAGGTGAGCTCAGGCGTCAGGCGGCCAGCACGTGGGGTCTCCACCAGGAAACACGCCTCCCGGTGGGTTCCTCCAGGCCGGTGGGCAGGTGTGACCGCGGACCCCCCCCAGCCCGTGTGAAGGCGAGCACAGGCGAGAGACCTGAGGCCCCGCCCGCTGGCCCCAGCTCCGGGGGGTGCGGGCTTTAGCCACCTCTCGGCCTCAGTGGGTTTGCCGCTGGCACTGTCCGTCCAGGTGAGGCCGTTCCAGGTGAGGGTATTCCGGCACCGGCCACACCTGGGCCACACCGGGTGGGAGCCGCTCCCAGGCTGGTGCCCCTCTGCGGGGGGGGGGGGGGGGGGGTTCGCGCAGGTGGGACTCGCTGGCGCGGCCTTTGCATCACCGTGTGCCATGGGTTTGCCGGGAGCAGGCGGAGCATTTGTAGGGAATCTCTTCCCTAAAAAGCAGCGGGAAAGCATCTGTGGGAGGGGAAGGAGGAAGGAAGGGAGGACAGGATGGAGGGAGGGAGGAAAGAAGGAAACGATGACCCAGGCGCGGAGTCTGGGTGTCACAGAGGACAGTGGGCCTGGGCCACTGGGTGGGGCGGTGCTCGGGCGGCTTCCTGGAGGCGGTGTCGCTGAGGGGAGGGGGGAGGGCTGGGTTGGCTGAGGGAGGAGGCATTAGGGCCTGTGGCCGGATGGAGCGTTGACTTGGCTGAGAGGGGAGGAGCTCAGTGAGGCTGGGACCAGCATGGAGGGAGGTCCCGGGGGTACACGGAGGAGCAGGGGTCTGAGCAGAGGGGCAGATCTCCGCTCCCCGTGCTGAGCACGGCGGGGCCGGGCACCAGGTCTGCCCCACGTCTGCCTGTGCCCCCCAGGTGGAGCCGTACCTGCCCTACGAGTACACCTGTGAGGGGATGCTGGAGCGAATCCATGCCTACATCCAGTACCAGGTAGGGGCCTCTGCTCCCCCAACCCCCCAACCCCATCCGACCAGAGGAGGGCGCCAGGCTGCGTCCCTTTGACTTCCTGTTGCTCCCCAGTCCGTCCTCTGTCCCCTTCCTTCCCGCACAGCCGGTGGGGAGGGAGCTGAAGGTGGGGCCAGGCCTGGCCTCCCTCCCATGCTCCTTGGAGACGCATCAGTACCTCCCGGTGGGGCTGCTGCCGTGGGTAAATGTTCCGATCCCGGCAGGCCACCCGCACCAGCAAGCCCCCGCGGAGATGCACCCCATGTCAGCCGTGGCTCTGTGGCCCCCGTGGCCCCTGCCCTCTCACACTGCTCTCTCCCGACAGGACTTCTGCGCAGCCCCGGCCCCCGCCCCGCCAGGGGCTGGAGCCCCAAAGAGCCCCTTCGTCCTGGCCCCCAACGCCACCCACCTCGAATGGGCCCGGAACGCCAGCCTGGCCCCCGGGGCCTGGCCCCCCGCGCACTCCCTGCAGGCCTGGCTGGCCGCCGCGGGCAGGGCCTGCACGGACGCCTGCCTGGACCGCGGGCTGGTGTGCGAGCCCTCCTTCTTCCCCTTCCTCAACAGCCGGGACGCCTTCCAGAAGTGAGCGGGGGCCCCCCTCCGCCCGGCCAGGCCCGGCCCAGGCCCGACCCCGCCCGGCCGGCAGCGTGGGGGGGGCCTCCGGTGGGTCATGGAGGGACCGTCCCAGCAGGTGACCCTCAGAGCTCCACACTCCCCGCACCGCCTCAGCTCCACGCACCGAGGGGGGCTCCCTGCCCCCTCACCCCCCCCCCAGCATCCTCCCCGGGCTCTCCCCGATGGATCACCCACCCTCCTGTCCCCCCCCCTCCGAGCAGGTAGGAGAAGGCGTGGAGGACCAGGGTCTGTCTGTCTGGCAGCTCCTAGAAAATCTTTCCCGGGTTTGGACTGGGCCGGCCAGGGCGGGGGGGGCAGGACCGCTGGGTGTCCTGTGCCCGCGCTGAGTGCCGCCGCCCTGGTGCCCGCAGGCTGCAGGTGCCCTGCGACAGCACCGAGTGGGAGATGAACCACCTGTACCCGGCCTTCGCCCCGCCCGGCCGGGAGTGCCTCCTGCAGAAGGAGCCCCTGCTCTTCAGCTGCGCGGGCGCCAGCGCCAAGCACCGCCGGCTCTGCCCGTGCCGGGACTTCCGCCGGGGCCAGGTGGCCCTGTGCCGGGCCTGCCTGTGAGGCCCGGCGGCCCCGCGGGCGGAGAAGCACCAGCAGATTCCGAGCTCCAGCGACCCCCCCCAAGCGGGCTTTCCTCCCTGCGCCAGCTGCAGGGAGGGCGGCTCCTCCGGGCCGGTGCCCACGGGGCAGGCTCCTCCCCCCCCTCCTCCTCCTCAGCCCAGGGCTCATGGCGGCAGCAAGGCCAATGGCTGTGGGGCTGCCAGGGCTCCCCCGGCAGGAGCAGGGGCAGAGGCAGACCTGGCAGGTGGAGAGGGTCCTGGCCTCCTGGGCCCAGGGTCCCGGGAGGGGGCGGCCTTGTCCCTCGGAAGGAGTTTGGGGTGTGGCCAGGGGGGCAGGGGCTGGGGGAGGCCAGGCGGAAGGACCCCGTTCCTGCCTCTCCCCTTTCCCACACCTGCTCCCCGCTGCACGGGCCGCAGTTGGGGGCGCGGGGACCCCTCAGACGGGGGCGGCATTGTGTCCCCCTCCTGCTTGTTCCTCTCTCTCCACCGGAACTTCCTGGCACGGCTGCCATTCCAGACACCGCTCTGCTCCCATGGCCTGCTTCCCCAGCCGCCCCAGCCTCCCAGCATCCACTGCAGGCACCGCTTCTGCCCATCCCTCCCCTGGCCCAGGCCCTGGCTGCCCCGGCCCACTGCCCCCGAGGCCCCCACCCCTCAGTGCTGTGTCTGTGTCCGTCCAACTCCCACCCACCTCCGGATCCTCTGTGCACCCCGTGCAGCATGCCTGCCCCCGCCCAGCCCTCAGAAACATTGCCACCCCATCCTGTTTATAGCCCCTCCCACTGGGCCACCCAGCCGCCCTCGGGGCTGCCCCGCCCCCGGGCCCAGAGAGGCGGCCTCGGCTGCAGCAGGTGCCTCCCACCTGGACCCGCCCAGCCCCACTGCCCTGCAGCTGCAGACACTCAGTCACCAAGGACCTGACCTTCGGGGGAAAGCAATAGAGACTCTCTTTTCTCTCTTTTTTAAAGATTTATTTCTGGAAATAATAAATATTTTATTGGGATGTGAGGTGCAGAGGAGGAGCGGCTGTTTCTCATCTTTTCTGGGGGGGGAGGGGCTGGGAACGCCCAGGGGGAGCGGGGGGGAGGCTCTGGGCCCCCGGGGCCCTGCCCCTCGACGGAGGCTGGGCTCTGCGTCAGGCAGCCCGGGGAAGGCCCTGCCGCGGCCCCGTGCGACTCTCCAGCCACCCTGCGGGGCCTCGGCTGTGGAGTGTGAGGTCTGAGGACAGAGGGCACTCTCTGCCCGGGGCTGGGCTGCGCTGCGGGCCTGGGCCGGACCTGTCCCTTCGCGGGTCCGCCGTCCTGGGGGGCGGGTCCTGGCGCCCCGCTGGTGCCTTACTGAGCATCTGGGCTATGGGATAGTTGTCGGGGTTACCCATAGAGATCTCGTCCCCGGATACAACTCTGTGTTCCAGGTGTGTGGCCTGGGCCTCTGGTGGGCCTACTAGGTCCACCATGAAGGACTGGGACCCGGATGTAGGTCTGGGTGCTCAGGCAGGATGTGGTCACTAGGGGACGCTATGGGCCCAGGTGGGAGGTTCGGGGCATGGGCAGGACCTCGGGATGATGAAATGGTGGTCAGGACTAGCCTGGTTATTTGGCCTCCAATTAAGTAATGGGCACTGGCTTCCGTATGGGTCCCAGGAATGGCTACTGATTCCCCCCCCCAGCTGGGTCCGTTCCGACTTGGTCCCCACCGGCTCGGTCCCCACAGCGTCGAGGTGGGTGGAGAAAGCCTGTCTCAGGTCTGGGCAAGCGCCGATGAGGAGGTCCTGAGCTTGTGGCGCACAGGCTGCTGGACTTGGGTTCTAATTCAGCGGTTCTGGGCGGGGCCTGGGAGTTTGGGTCTCTAATCAGGTGCGGCTTCTGCGGCCCAGGCCCCACGCAAGCCACGCAGGAGGTCACGTGGGCACCGGCGGGCATTTCAAGAGTTTCCAATTGGTTCTTCGTTTGTGGTTCCCTGCCAGCGGCCTGGGGAGCATCCGGGAGCTCCCTCGGTCTGCCTGCCTGCCTGCCCTGTGCGGTGTCTGCTCAGGTCTTCGTCCATTTCTAAATTGGGTTGTTTGCGTTTTTTGTGTTTTTTAAATATATATTTTATTGATTTTTTACAGAGAGGAAGGGAGAGGGATAGAAAGATAAAAACATCGATGAGAGAGAATCATCGATCAGCTGCCTCCTGCACCCCCCCCCCACTGGGGATGCGCCTGCAACCAAGGTACATGCCCTTGACCGGAATCGAACCCGGGACCTTTCAGTCCCCAAGCTGACGCTCTATCCACTGAGCCACACCGGTTTCGGCTGTTCGCATTCTTATTGTCGAGTTTTAAGTGTTTTTGAATCCTCCCCTGAGGATATGTTTGTTGATTTGAGAGAGAAAGATGGGGGGTGGGGGAGATCATCAATCATCAATGTGAGAGAGAAACATTGATTGGTTGCCTCTTATAGGACCCCCAACCGGGACCAACCACAGCCTGGGTATGTGCCCCGACCAGGAGTCCAATCCTGGACTTTTTGATGTGCTGGACCGTGCACCCACCAGCTGGCCACACCAGAATCTTCTTCATCTTCTTCTTTTTAAAAAAAAATATATTTTATTGATTTTTTACAGAGAGGAAGGGAGAGGGATAGAGAATTGGAAACATCGATGAGAGAGAATCATCGATCCGCTGCCTCTTGCACACACCCTAGTGGGGACGTGCCCACAACCAAGCTACATGCCCTTGACCGGAATCGAACCCGGGACCCTTCAGTCCGCAGGCCGACGCTCTGTCCACGGAGCCACACCGATTTCGGCGCCTCACCGGAGTCTTAAGAGTTCTTGGCGGAGGAGCCTCCTTCTGCCTCCCGTCTTAGACGCTCCATGAGGTGCGTGGGGTGCGGGGCAGAGGGGCGGAGAGCTGGCGGGTAGCAGGAGAGAGAGAAGTTCGACCCGCGCCCAGATATAAGGCCGGAGGATGGCGGGAGGGCCCTCCAGCCCTTCCTCCCGGCACCCAAGTGGCTGCCTCCCTTCAGCACCCCACCTCCAACGAGGAAAGCTCGGGTCCCAGGATTCAGACACACTGGAGATCCATCAGAGATCCCACCCCTGCCCCCCAAATGCCCTCCCAGGCACGGCCCTCGGGGGACCCCGGGGCGAGCGGCACCCAGGTGCTTCGGGCAGAAGGGGGCTGGAGGGACCGCACACCTCCCGCGGGAGTCAGCCCGGATCGCCGCCTCTGCCTCGGCTAAAAACAGCTCAGCCTGGCTTGACTCCGCATACATTTGCATATGGGGCTGGAGGCTCATGAATATGGAGGAGCGGGGCAGCTGGCTTGTTTGTGAAGGAAAGGGAACAAAGACACCTGCCCCCCCCCCCCGCCCCGGGGGAGTTCCCAGCTCCCCCAGCGGCCCTGCTTTCAGCCTGCCCTCCCCACCTCTTCCTTCAGAGCCTTTGGGGTGGGGGGTCCTCTCCAGGGGGTCCCAGGGCCGGGGCGGGGGATCAGGCATGAGACACCCTGAGGCTCTGTACTCTGACCCTAGACCCTGGTCCCTCAGAACCTCCTCCCCACATGCCTGTGCACTGTGGGGAGCTCAGCAGGGGAGGGGAGGGGTGGGTAGAGATGGCCATCTCCCAACCTTGGCTAAAGCTGGACTTAGGACTCCTCATGTCCCTCTCCTCCCCCCCAGTCACTCATCCATCCAACAATCCCTCCTCGCTCAGCACAGTGCTTGGCCGAGATACACAGTCCCGGCCCAGTACCCGTGTCCTGCATACCAGTGTCCAGGCCTGAGCCTGTGGGGCCCCCCTGGCTTCCAAATCTGGGGACGCTTGCTTTGCATGGATCCTGGAACCTGCTGGCCAGTGTCCCCTCGTCTTCCCCTCCTCTCCGTGCAGCAGTTCCCTGCTCCATCCTGGCCCCGAGGCCAGCGTCCAGAGAGGCCTGGCTCCAGGCAGGGTCCGGCTCCCCACCTCAGGCCCAGGCTCCCGGTGTGAAATTCCCAGGAGTTTTTATAAGTGGGGGCTACAGTGCTGGTGTCTTGAACGGGGTGGGGGGGTGGGGGAGTGTGTACCTCAGAAACCACACGTGCAACGAGTCAGGCTTTTGACGTCCCCTGCGTGCTGTTTTCGGGAGACCTGGCCACCGCGGAGGGCCGGCTGGCTGGCTGTGGGCCCTCACCCCACCCTCTGCTTCCTCCCCCCCCTCAGTGCCCACTCGCCTGGGTTTGGCATTGACTGGGGCTGCGCAGGGCCTGCCTCCCCTCGCCGCTGTTCAGGGAAATAATTAATAATAATTAATGAATAAGCTGTGTTTATTGAGAGCCGTTTACACAGAAAGCCTCAGGGTACACGGCTCAGACGTAATTAAAAGTGACATATTTTAAACTTGGAAGCGCAAAGCTGTTGCCCAAAGCAGGGCTCTCCCCTCCCGGAACCCTCCTCTGACCCCCGCTTTGCGGGTGGGGCCTGGGGAGGTGGGAAAAGGGGCCTCATCACGGTCCTCCCAGTGCAGCCCCAAGATCACCCACCTACCTGTGCGTGCGAGCATTCATCTACCCATCCACCCACCACCCACTACCACCAACACCCATCCATCCATGTACCACCCACCACCCATCCATCCACCACCCACCCACACCCACCCACCCACCACCCATTCATCCATCCACCACCCACCACCCAAAGCCCGCAGAGGGCACAGCTGAGCGGAGCACTGGGCTCCGGCCCCAGGCCGTGGCTCGGCCCCAGGATGTGGCTCAGCCCCAGGCCGTGGCTCGGCCCCTCTGTCTGAGGAAGGAGGCTTCCGAGTGCTCAGCGCTCCGGGGGCGACAATTGTGAAAAGCACACATGCTGCAGTCTGGGTTTAGGTGAAAGTGTTGACTTCCTGGTTTTAATTATTCAACAGAAATTAATGAAAATGGGAGCCTCTCGGAGCGGCGGGCGGGGCAGGCAGGAGAGTCGCATCACAGGGAGCCTGGGAGAGGGGCTGAGAGGAAAGGCCAGGGCCTTTGATGGTCACCGGAG